AAGGATTAGAGCTATTCCTGAATTGGAGACGGGCACCCTGACAGATTTTTTGACACAAGAATTTGCAGAGTTTTGGAAATCGGAATTGAAACAAGAAGATTTTAAGATCGTGAGGGCTTTCAGGTTAGGAAAAGGAGGAAAAAAGATTAAAATAAGGGACTGCCTGATTACCCTCCGATCCAAAGAAGAAAGGGATAAAATTTTGGGTTTGCATTTTCAGAAACCTTTGATAATTCTGCAATCAAAAGTGGAAATCTTCAAAGACATACCGAAACATCTTTTGGATCTAAGATACGACTTTGGAGATTTGGTGGCCCTATTGAGAAAAAATAAGATCCTTTTCAGGTGGGAATTCCCCCAAGGCCTATCTTTTAGTTTCAAAGGAAGAAAGATAAAAATAAGATCAGTGGAGGAAAAAAATAAGTTTTTGAGCACATACGAAGAAGACCTGCAGAAAGGACTTGGAAAAGAGCCAGCCGTACTAGACAAGAGTTTACAAAAAAAAGGAAAATTAACGCCACCGACAGATATAGACAAACTACTGGGCGCTGCTGGGGGAGAAGGAGAGTAATTACACCATGACACTGCAAGTACTAAGTTGGAATGTGAATGGACTGAACTCCCGGGGAAAAAGGGGGAGAGTATTTCATATATTAAAAAAAGAACATTTGGATTTGATCTGTTTACAAGAAATGCATGTGACAAGGCTACATCGGAAAATTTTGACGAATAAAAGATTAGGAGAAGAATTTATTTCATCAGACAAAGTTAACAAAAGAGGAGTAGTACTTTATGCAAAGGAAAGCCTGTCACCGAAATTTTTATTTAAAGATGACCAAGGAAGATTTGTTGCAATTGAAATTCAACTACAAGGTGAGAAGTTTTTGATAGTAGGTACTTATGCACCGAACAAGGGAAAATCGGAATTTTTTAAGAAATTGCATGAAATTTTACTGGACTATTTAGATTATAACATGATTTTGATGGGAGATATGGATGGAGTGGTGTCTACGAATATGGATAAAGCCCAAAGACAAACGGTGACGAAAGACGGCAGACTACCAAAGACGTTCTTTGAAATGACTGACAATATGGACCTTGTTGATATTTGGAGAACTAAAAACCCCTTGGGAAGAGAAGGAACTTTCTTCTCTGAAGCTAAAATGACATGGACAAGAATAGACCAAATCTGGATAACTAGGGGACTGGCCCCAAAAGAAAAAAAGTTCGAAATTAGCACAAAAACTAGCACCGACCACAATGCAGTGAAGATGGAAATGACATTAACACCAATTGGTTCTTTTAGATGGAGGATGAATGACTCCTTGTTTAGGAATGAGGAAATTATTTAAAAGGCTCAGAAAAACTTGAGAGATTATTTTGAGATACATATGAATACCACGACTGAAAAAAGAGTGATTTGGGATGCAAGCAAAGCAGTTATGAGAGGGTTTTTGATACAACAAAATGCAATCAAGAAAAGAGTTCAAAATGAAAAAAGGGGAAAAATTTTGGAGAAAATAAAGGATGGAGAAAAGAGACTGAGGGCGAAACCGAAATCACAGGAGATCCTGAAAGAGATAAAGTTATATCAAGTACAATATATGAAATTGACAAATCAGGAAATAGAATGGAAGATTAAACAGATGAGACAAAAGACATTTGAATCAGCGAATAAGTGTGGGAAACTGCTGGCATGGCAAATGAAAAAAAGACAAAAACTTAACACTATTACGAATCTAGTGGTGGAGGGAAAGAACATACAGAATCCCGCGGAGATCAGAAAGTGTTTTCAGAAGTATTTTAAACAGCTATATACACAGGAGACTCAGAAAGAAATAGACATCGATCGGTTTTTGAGAACAAATGGATTACAAAAAAATCTCTCAAGAGAGTAAATCAATGCTAAACTACAAAATAACTGACCAAGAGGTGGAAGGAGCCATTCAGAACATGAAATTGGGCAAATCTCCAGGGCCGGATGGTTTGACTGCAAAGTATTATAAATCTTTGAAAGAATGGCTAATACAGCCTTTGAAGGAAGTTTGCAATGAAATATTAGGGGGGGGGAAAGGCACCCGAGTCGTGGAAAGAAGCTTACATTACACTTATACCGAAAATAGAATCGGAAAAGACACAGCTTAAGAACTACCGTCCCATATCTTTACTCAATGTGGATTACAAAATTTTTGCGGAAATTATGGCTAAAAGATTAAAAAAAGGTACTGGTGGAAGAAATTCATAAAGACCAAGCGGGCTTTCTCCCGGGGAGACATTTGTCAGATAACACGAGGAATATAATTAACATTTTAGAAAAATTACAAGTGAATATTAACACTAAAGCAGTTTTGATATTTGTGGACGCGGAGAAAGCCTTTGATAATATTTCTTGGAGTTTTATGAAGAAAAATTTACAGGGAATGGGGGTAGGCCAAGGCTTTGAAAACGGTATAGGTGCAATTTATTCAGAACAAAAAGCTAAGTTAATTGTGAATAACGTAGTTACAGAAGAGTTTAAGATTGAGAAAGGAACAAGACAGGGCTGCCCAATCTCCCCATTGCTTTTTATATCGGTCCTGGAGGTTTTGCTCAACATGATTAGAAAAGACCAATTGGTTAAAGGTATACAACTCGGAGCTAAACAGTATAAATTGAAAGCTTTTGCCGATGACTTGGTTTTGACATTACAGGAGCCAGAATCCAGTACCAAAAGAGTATTGCAATTAATTCAAGAATTTGGTCAAGTTGCGGGATTTAAGCTGAATAAGTTGAAAACTAAGGTGTTAGAGAAAAATTTAACAGAGATTGAGAAAGAGAGGTTTCAGAAGGAGACAGGATTAATATTGGTTAAGAAAGTGAAGTATCTAGGGGTTCATATGACTGCTAAAAATGTGAATTTATTTAAAGACAACTATGAAAAATGTTGGATGGAAGTGAAAAAGGATTTGGAAATATGGTCAAAATTGAAGTTATCAATGTTGGGCCGAATTGCTGCGATAAAGATGAATGTATTGCCTAGGATGTTGTTTTTGTTTCAAACACTGCAAATTTTGGACAAGATGGACTGTTTCAAGAAATGGCAGAGAGATATCTCGAGATTTGTCTGGCAGGGCAAGAAGCCTAGAATAAAATTTAAGATTTTAACTGATGCTAAAGAAAGAGGTGGATTTGCCCTGCCAGACTTTAAACTTTATTATGAATCAGCCGCATTTTGTTGGCTGAAAGATTGGCTGCTTCTTGAAAACACGGACATTTTGGATTTAGAAGGTTTTAACAATGTTTTCGGATGGCATGCATACTTGTGGTACGACAAGGTCAAAGCACACAAAGCCTTTAAGAACCATATTGTTAGGAAAGCATTGTTTAATGTCTGGGTGAGATATAAGGATTTGCTGGAAAGTAAAACACCAAGGTGGCTGTCACCAATGGAGGCTAAGGCTCTGAAAAAAATTAATATGGAGACAAATTGGCCAAAATATTGGGAAATTTTAGAACAAGATGGAGATAGATTAAAGTTGCAGAGCTTTGACAATTTAAAAACTAAAGTACGAGACTGGCTTCACTACTATCAAATAAGGGAGGCTTATAATCTAGATAAGAAAATTGGTTTTCAGGTGGAAAAATCAAAATTGGAAACAGAATTGTTAGACCCTAAAGTTAAGAATTTGTCAAGAATGTACAACTTGCTGTTGAAATGGAACACACAAGATGAAACGGTTAAATCTGTTATGATTAAATGGGCACAAGATTTTGGATATAACATTATGATGGCTGACTGGGAAAAGTTATGGACCACAGGTATTAAGTTTACGGCTTGTAATGCCTTAAGAGAAAATATAATGAAAATGATTTACAGGTGGTACTTAACCCCAGTCAAGCTGGCAAAAATTTATCATTTGCCCGATAATAAATGTTGGAAATGTAAAGAGATTGAGGGCACATTCTTTCACCTTTGGTGGACATGCCCAAGGATTAAGGCCTTCTGGGAGATGATTTATAACGAAATGAAAAAGGTATTTAAATATACCTTCCAGAAGAAACCAGAGGCCTTTCTTCTGGGCATGGTCGGCCAACTGGTGCTAAGGGAGGATAGAACCTTTTTTATGTATGCTACAACAGCAGCAAGAATACTCATCAGAAAGTATTGGAAGACACAAGAATTACCCACCCGAGAAGAATGGCAGACGAAAGTGATGGACTATATGGAACTGGCTGAGATGACTGGCAGAATCCGGGACCAAGGAGAAGAGTCGGTGGAAGAAGATTGGAAAAAATTTAAAGTATATCTTCAAAAATATTGTAATATTAAAGACTGTTAGAAAGATGTTGGAAAAAGAAAATTAGGTAGTTTTGGTAGATATGATATAAAGGATTAAGCAAAAATGAGCTGATGAAATTGATGAAAGAGAGGATGTCAAATTATAATATTTTAAGTTAAACTACATAAATGAAAATAAGGTTGGAAGGATTTGCTGAAAAAACGATCTGAACTAGAATACAAAATTGGGAGGTGAGAGGAGGTCAAGGAAATAAGTAAAGGAAAAAAGTTATGTAAAGGTTTAATCTGTTTTTGTTCTATTTCAATTGAATGTATTTTTATACCTTCTTTTTTTCTTTTATTTTTCTTCTTTTTTTTTCTTCTCGCTCTGTTATTGTTATATTCTTTTTTGTATTTTGTATTGTTCTTTTCTCTTTTTGTAACTTTAAACTTGGAATAAATATTATTATTAAAAAAAAAAATGGGCCTGCTTTTGGCTAATGAGATGATCAGAGGGATTGCCAGTCCAGCCCGTGAGGCAGCGGCAGCGGCAGCAGCAGCGGAGGTTTTCCCTGGGCCTGGGGGTAGCCTGCCTCTTGCGCCCGAAGATGGCGGGTGGTAGCGGCAATTGCCAGGCAGACCGGGTTCAGGACCCTGGCAGGCCAGATATGGCCCACAGGCCGTAGTTTGAGGACCCCTGATCATTGCAAGCCAACTCCCTGCAATGGAGGAATATACAGCTCTCCCATACAGGGATCGAACCTGCAACCTTTGTGTCATCAGCACCGCATTCTAACTAACTGAGCTATCCACATAGGAAGCTGCCTTACACTGAATGAATCCATTGGTCTAGCTCACACTCAGTATTATCTACAATGATTTGCGGGAGCTCTCCAGGGCTTCAGACAGTCTCTCCTAGCCCTGCCTAGAGAAGCAAGGGATTGATTCTGGAACCTTCTGCATTAGATATTCTACTACTGAGCTACAGCCCTTGCTCTGTCAGTATGGCTCCTGCTCAGTCCTCTTATCACCAAGTAGCCCTAAGGATTAGGGCAACATTCCTTGCAAATGGAACAGTATAGGAAATTAGGGCATTGTCATTGAAAACAAACATGTTGAACTGAATCCTAAGCATCTCTGCTCTTGTTAGTCCTTGGGAAATGCACACTGATTCCCAGAGTGATTTAACAGTTGAGCCCTTTTATAGGGTTGCCATATTTCAATAAGTAAAATTCCTGACACCTGCAGGAATTCGTTGAGATTCTTGGGGTGAAGAAAGTTCCCCCTTGACATCATTTTTACACCCCAAAGCCAGGTGATATCAGGAACATTGTGTAGCGACCGCCAAGGTGCTGGAAGCCATCAACTGCAAGGGCCACACTGAGGACCTCCTGGCCCCCACCAGGAACAATAAGGAGGGGATGGGGAGAGCATTGCCTCATCCTAAGGATTCTGAAGGTGGGTCTGGAGGGGAGCAAAACTTCCGCCTGGTTCCAAGTTGTCATGGATTTAAAAAGCAGATAGTCAGTGGAATTTTATGTTTGAAAGGTTTTTTCACCTGGTTTTTGAATAACACAATATGTAAGTAACAAGTGTGGCTCACCCAAATCTGCCCACTTGCAAAGTCCTATTTTGCACTTGGTAACTGACATAGTGTCAGTGGATAAGCTGGGGTGGCCCATATTGGTGAACTCCTTCTGGAGCTCAGTAACGTAGTATTAATTGTTTTAGTAATTGTCATTTTGTTAATAACCACAGAGATAGGATATGAAGCCAGGCATCGCACGTCCTGGTCAAGGATGCCAGCAGACCAACACAGCTCTTGCCTTTCCACAGCTGCTGACAGACCAGTGAGCTTTCCATTACTACTGTCCCAGGAGCAAAATTGTTGCAGAAGTAGAGGCTCTTGGAGGCAAGCTACGTCCTGGGTGCTCCACCTCCTACCAGAGGTCAGTCTCTTGCAGCATCTTCTAAACCTCCCCCCCCCTTAAATGTGAATTGTTCTTCTTTTGTCTGCTCATCCACCCAGCTCCTCTGACTGCCATTTCATTGAACAGCACCGGGAACAGCTGATCCAGCGGACCACCAACGTTGCATCAGCCCTGGATATGCTGCATGGCCAAATCCTGGATGAAGAACAGTACCAAAAAATCTCTTCGAGGAAAACTAACCAAGAAAAAAATGAGGGAACTCTACTTAAAATCACAGTATTATCTTGGAAAGTTAATTTAAAGTTTTGGTGGTTCTTGTTTAATGGTGTTATTTTACCATTGATCCACATTGAGCGGGAGGAGCCCCAATCACAACGAGGCTGCCTAGCCCGACACACCACCACCTGCAGAACCATCCTTTGTACAGAATTTGTATCCAGAAATGACCATGCCCCACCTGTTCTCTCCATTCCACCAGATTTTTAAATTTGCTTTTCATTCAAATTGGAAGAATAACAAAAGTGGAATGCATGTCAGTTGCATAAAAAGCAAACTGTAAACAAAGCACTGGGGTGCAAAGAGAGGCAAGGTTTGACGTAAGTATAGGAGGCAAAACATAAAGAACATCAAAGCAAGGAAAGAGTATCCAAGAATGAAGCCCCAAAGAGGAAGGAAATGGAAGTAAACCAAAGTTTCTTTGCATGTGTACTTGTTTTTATAAATATTGCCAAATAAAGTCATGCTTCATCATGGCTTCAAGTGTGGCTTGTTCATAGGTGTTATGAAAGGCCACCAGATGGCAGCAAAGTCCGCTGGTTTAGCCTCACAAAACCTTCAGCTGATGTGTAAGCTTAGTCAAAACAGCAGTACAGTGGTACCTCAGTTTACGAACTTAATCCATTCTGGAGGTCTTTTCTTAAACCAAAGCGTGCTTTCCCATAGAAAGAAATGGAAAATGGATTAATCTGTTCCAGACGATGAAAAACAACCCCTAAAACAGCCATTTAACATGAAATTTACTATCTAACGAGGCCATTGATCCGTAAAATGAAAGCAATAAACAATGTACTGGAAAATCAATAAAACAGTATTAATGATTTTATGAAAATGAAAACATGATTATTATTATTTTTCTTACCTGCACTGATGATAGTCATTGATTGGATGGGGGGTCGGAGTCCTCTTCCAGATTCACAATCGGTGACTCCTCTCCTGCCATTCCGTCCCTTGCAGACTCACATAAACAAAGGAACAAGACAGAATCCCAAAATTTCCCACTCACCCCCTCCCCCACAGGGTGGGTGGGCTTACCTGGCCAGGTGCCACCCAACTTGCTACCAGCTGGGGGTGGGGCGAGGGCCGGTAAAGGGCTGATGCCTTTCATCCCAGGCTCAGTTACCAGGTTCACCGCGGGACTTCGCTCTTGGTCTTGGTTAGGTAAGTGTTCCTCGCCAGGGTTTGGGGCTGCAGTGCAGCCTGCTGGGCCTCCTGCGGCCGGAGCCTGGCAGCGGAGGCAGAATGGAGGCCACACAGGCGCCAGGACCTGGCTCCAGGCCGCGGCACGGCCTAATGAGGCCTCGTTCGTATACCAAAAAAAGTTCACAAGCAGTTTCAGGTTTGAAGTGTTCATAATCCAAACGTTTGTTAACTGGGCTGTTCATAACCCGAGGTACCACTGTATATACAACCTTTCTATTCTAGGAATGCAAATTGATAACTATGAGGATGCTTATGGCACCGCTAAACGTTCCTCTTGCACAGGGAGTCACTCGCTTGCTGGCTCACCCGCGGAAGAGCGTTTGGTTGCATCTGTGTGCGTGCGTAAAGCTTGCACCTGTTGAATGGCTGCCTGTCGTGCGTTGAAAGCCTCTGACATGGGAGGAAAAAATTAAGCAGCGGGCCAGAGGTTCGCCCCGACGGTCTATCAGAAAACTCTAGTGGAATATATGAAAGTCTCACGCCTTAGGTTTATAGAAAAGGGACGACTTCTTTCAAGGTTTACAAGAACAAACCAGTGCATCTGACTTCCTGTGAGGTTTACGAGAACAGACCAGTGCCTGGCTGTTCGCATGGCTTTCCTCTTTATTTCTTACAAACCTGCTCTGTCCCCCACTGGTGGAGGTAAGGAGCGGGGGAGCGCACCGCCCCAGGCACTATCGGAGAGGGGGGTACCATCGCAGCCACCCCCGGACACATGCCGTGCACCCCCCATGCCGCGTGCGAGGCCCCCGCGGGCCACGCCCCTGCAGGTGTCGCCCCATGCCCCCGGAGCGCTCGCCATGACCTCGCAGGTGGTGTGCCACAACCCCAGGACGTGCGCCGCACCTCTATGGGCGGCATGCCACGCCACCGGGTGCGCGTCACCCCCCCCAGGACACGCACCAGCCACACCCCCGCCGTGTCAGAGCGTGCAGCTTCTCCACTGCCGTTCCCCCAAGTCCCCCCAGCCCTATCTCTCCAGAATTTCGCTCCTGCAAGAGCCGTGTGCTGCAGACCCGCCAATTGTCCCTATTTTCAAAGGACAGTCCCAGATTTACAGGTTACTGATTTGATTCTGGAATGTCCCGCTTTTCCTTAGGATGTTCTTATTTTCATCCGACAAATACTGGAGGGTATGAAGTTTTGCGACCCCGCCCCCCCAGCCAAGGAGAGATAAGTAACTATGGAATCTAAAGGCAGCCTTGCATAGGGAAGGGTTTTTTTTAAGTTTAATGTTTTATTATGTTCTTTTATATATGTTGGAAGCCGCTCAGAGTGGCTGGGGCAACCCAGTCAGATAAATAATGTTGTTGTTGTTATTCCCCTATTTTCATCAGAGAAATGTTGGAGGTTATGCCTGCAACAACTTGGCGCCTGGAAGCCTTTTGCAAGCGCGCACTCGTGCATATCCTTATACAGTGGTACCTCGAGTTAAGTACTTAATTCGTTCCGGAGGTCCGTTCTTAACCTGAAACTGTTCTTAACCTGAAGCACCACTTTAGCTAATGGGGCCTCCCGCTGCCGCCGCGCGATTTCTGTTCTCATCCTAAAGCAAAATTCTTAACCCGAGGTATTATTTCTGGGTTAGCGGAAGCGTCTGTAACCTGAAGCGTATGTAACCCGAGGTACCACTGTAATGGGAAAGTAATGGGAAAGTCCGTCTCCGCCCAGCGCGCTGAGAAAAAAAGACAGAAAAGCGCGGGAGGGCGCACGGGCAAGTTTCCAACCCCATTGTAGCTTTCACTCAGGCCAGCCTCTCTCCTCCCGCTGCACCAATCGGAGTCCAGCATCTCCCCCCGCCCCCCGCCAGCCCAGCCCGGGCTTTGTATCAGGAGCGATGCCTGCTTTCAATCTTGCAGCTTCCGCGAAGCGAGGCTGATTTCTTGCTGGCTCTGAAGGCGCGCCATGGCGAAGAGCGCGCGGGACTGCCTGCTGGATTGCCTGGAGAACTTGGAGGAGGGCGAGTTGAGGAGGTTCAAGGCTAAGCTGAACGAGTTCCCCGTGCGCCCGGGCTACGCCAACATCCCCCGAGGGCGGCTGCAGAAGGCGGATGCGCTGGACCTCAAAGACCTGCTGGTCAGCTTCTACACCGAGGAGTACGCCGTGCAGCTGACCGCCGAGGTGCTGGAAGCCATCAACTGCAAGGACCGCGCCGAGGAGCTCCTGGCCTCCACCGGGAACAGTAAGGAGCGGCTGGGGAGGGAGAGCGGCGCCCGATCCTAAGGATCGCCAAGGTGGGTCTGGAGGGGAGCGAAACTTTCGCCTGGTCCCGAGTTCGGCGGCTTTGCAGCTGCTGCTGCTGCTGCTGCAGCCAGAGGATCTCCTCCGGAGGTGGGAAGAGGCGGTAGAGTAAAGCTGGTAGAGGTTCGTCGACACTCACTTAGAAAAACTGGGGAGTGGCCACTTCCACTTAAAAGCCTCGTCTCGCCTCATAACTTGCCCTTTTCGCTTCTCTCCATCTAGCTTTGTAACTACGTGAAGTCAAACAAGGAGAATAAACTGCGATGAGGGAGGATTTCAAAATGAAATTGTAACTCTCTGATCGCTCATCTGCAGGACAATTTTATTTGCCTTGAAGTAGTTGAGAATCACATTACAGAGAACATAAGATAGAAAATAATAAATAAATAACGTCTTTTGTAAGCAAGGACGGTCATGCACAAAGCTTGACTTAAAATATATATATATATATATGCATTCGGGGCTTTTTTTTCCTGCTTTCCTGGAAATGCCTCCGTTCAGTTGCTTTCGCTTTCGTGTATTTCATAACGCCCTTTCCATCTATGGACTTTAGAAACTGCCTTGTTCTTCTTTTAACTCATTCTTTATTTACATTCTGCCCCACGAGGGCTAAACTTTGTACTGCAACGAACTCCCGGACTTGCTCAGGTTTAAGTGAGCAATTTCGCACCGCGAGACATTTCAAGCTTAAAGCCATGATTTCATTTCCCCATTTGCTTTAGAAATGCAAGGCTGCTTCTCAGCTCATGCCAGAGAGGTTTCAGCAGCAATAAAACGAAGAACCAAACTGCTGATAGGCAGCTCTGAAAAATATGGATTGAACTTTGCCAGTTTATATTTGTTGGCACAGGGTGGGGCACAAGCACCTCAGAGTCACAAAGAAATAAGGGAACAGTTCCATGGAATAATTCTGACAACATGAAAAAACATGCATAGTTAGAGAAAGGATGGAGAAAATGTGCTCAGCTTCACTTCTTTAAAACATTTTTAAATGGAAAGCTATTTAGGATCTTTTTCTTTAAGGGAGCCCGAATTTTCACCCAGGATTTTATGCCCCTTTGCACCCCTGTCCAAAAGATTCTCCTTGCCTCTGTGCTCTGTATTAGGAATTGAAAACGCAAAAGACCCCATAGGAAGTAGCATGGTTAAGTTTCACATCTAGTTATGCTGTGGTTGGGCCTTTGATGCAATCATGAATGGGGAAAAGGAGGGTTGTTTATGTCCTCTCTGAGAAAGGTGTACTCTTGAAGCAGACAGAGTCACCAGGTGGCAGCAGCAATAAAATAAATAACCAGACTGCTGATTTGCAGCTCTGAAAAATACAGGTTGAACTTTGTCCCTGCGTACTTGCTTGGATTATTATGGACAGGACTTATAGCTCTACGCTTCCTCCCGACCCTATGTTACCAACAACAGAAACCAACACATCTTCCATCAGTTTTGGTGTTCGCCAGTCCTGGTTAAATGAGGCTCAAACAACTTTAAATCCGCTCTGAGAAATAGCTGGCCGTTGATAACAGTGGCCAACAATAAAAGACAATAAAAAAATCCCTACAGAATATTCTTTTGTTTTCTGTTTACTTGAACTTTAAAATAGGTTTACATCAACAGCTTGATTTAACTGTAATGTTTTAAGATCTAATAGGCCACAAGAAGGGATGTAGTTCGAATTCCCACGACGGGGTGAGCTCCCATTGCTCGGTCCCAGGTCCTGCCAACCTAGCAGTTCGAAAGCACAAAGTGCAAGTAGATAAATAGTTAATGCTCCAGCGGGAAGGTAAACGGCGTTTCCGTGTGCTGCTCTGGTTCGCCAGAAGCGGCTTAGTCATGCTGGCCACATGACCTGGAAGCTGTATGCCGGCTCCCTTGGCCAGTAAAGCGAGATGAGCACCGCAACCCCAGAGTCGTCCGCGACTGGACCTAACGGTCAGGGGTCCCTTTTTAGACCACAAGATGTTGTGAACCTGAAGTTACTGCATGTTGGCTCCGAAAGCCTCTCCCAGCCACCCAATTCCACAAATTTAAGGTCAAAAATAGGATGGTTGGAAGAACCTTTGCTATATACAAATTTCTCTCTTTTCTATCCTGCCTCTTCCTGGCTTCTCTGGTTCCCACAGTTGGAATTATGCATGCCTTGGCTGCAATATGGAGCCTTTTAGAGAGCTTCTGATACCCCATGCTTTTCCTTCTGTGATCACATTTGCTTGTTTTGCACCTTTACAAATGCATTTTTTTCTTTTGTCTCTCTGATATTTGCAGTTTAGTCCCCTGTGCCTTGCACCAATGCCTCTCAAGTCATAGTGTAGTCAAGGCTGGTCAAGTTGCTGTCATTATTTATTGGTTGATATACTGCTTAAAGCCTAAACTGGCTTTTAAGCAGTTCTCAAAACAGTTACAACTTTACCCAAAGAATTCTGTGAACTGTAGGCAGATGAGCTAGTAGGAATGCTCTGTTAGCAATCCCTCCCCTCATGGAACTACAATTCCCAGGGCACGGGGGAGGAGGGAATGAGTTGGGTAACCAGTTTTAAGCCCGCAGTGTGAAAGTATACAGTAGTAAGATTTCCGTTCTTTTTCTCTTTCCTGGCAGGGCCACAGCTTCAAAACTCTTCCAACGTGCACTTCATCGAGCGGCACAGGGAGGCGCTAATCCAACGGACCACCTCAGTGGAACCAGTGCTGGATAAATTGTATGGCTCCGTCCTCAGTGATGAGCAATACCAAAAAATCACTGCCAAGGAAACTAACCCAGACAAGATGCGAGAGCTCTACAGGCTTGTGCCAAGCTGGGACCTCAGGTGCAAGGATAAGCTGTATGAGGCACTGAAGGCCAAAAACCCACATCTCGTGAAAGACCTGGAAGGGCAATGAGGCCCTAAGGGAAGGCAGAAGGCAAGACCCCTTTCAAGGCACCAGAAATCCACCTCCCTATTGCCAAGGGACTCCTACAGACAAAGCCATACCATGTATTTTCCCAAGCACTCACTATGCTCCAATCAGGACACTGTGCAAAGGCAAGAATAGCCTGCAACCATAGCAGGGCTCTCATAGTCAGAGCTGCTGTGCAACCTGGGAAGGCAAGGGGGGCACCTGGTTCTGTTGTTCAGGCCTTTGGGGTGGGGCAGGGGACAGTTTTCAGCATATATCCTAACACAACCCAGTGGTTCTAACTAGGCCTACAAGGCTTCCCCATTTGGCTCGCCCTGCTCTTTTGGCCAAGCCACACCCACCTTCCATGCACCTGCTGTCAGGCTTGGGGCAGGTAAAGATGTGCAGCTGGGCCATGCAGGGGCTGCCTGTCACTTGACTGGAGGCAGCAGCTGTGCAGTGGTACCTTGGTTCTCAAACTTAATCCATTCCAGAAGTCCGTTCCAAAACCAAAGTGTTCCAAAACCAAGGCACGCTTTTCCATAGAAAGTAATGCAAAATGGATTAATCTGTTCCAGACTTTTAAAAACAACCCCTAAAGCAGCAATTTAACATGAATTTTACTATCTAATGCGACCATTGATCCGTAAAATAAAACGAATAAACAGTGTACTGCAGTCACACAATCAATCAATCAATCAATCAGTAGCTGAACCAGGTTCCACACAGTCACAAAAACAAAACAAAAAGAGCCGCAAAAACAAAAACGCAAAATAAATAGCAAAAGCAGACAGACCTCAGCGTAACACTCAAAACAGAAGCGTGGCACCGAAATCAGAAGTGTAACACTCAAAACGGAAGCGTAGCACTCAAATCGGAAGTGTGGCACTCAAAACGGAGCACTTTCAGCTTCTGAAAAAGGTTTGCAAACCGGAACACTTAACTTCCGGGTTTGCAGTGTTTGGGTTTGAAGTTGTTTGAGTACCAAGGCGTTCGAGAATCCAGGTATCACTGTATAACACTTTGCAGGCTGCAATGAATGTAGGGGCTTGCTCAGCGCTGTGCTAGGGAACCCCGATGATCAGCTGATAATTGGAGATTCTGGGCCCATTGCTATACTGAATAGTCATTGTGACAATGGGTGATTGACAAGTAGGCAGACTGAATCACAGAGTAGATGGATAGACGTATTCAGTCTGCCCAAATTCCTTTCAGAACCACTCACGCTTTTGTGCTGGAAAGAGTGGAAGGTCAAGAGGTCCTTGTCAGGCCTTTTGGGGTTTTAAAAAGTCCACTTTTGAATCCCCAAATTTATGCACTTCACAGTTCAGGCAGGGAAGAAGGTGGCCGTTATAGGCACAGCCCAGTGTGAGTATCTTGAGTCATTTGGGTGTGAGATGAAACAAGAGTAGCAATCTGAATCCTTTAGGGCAGGAATAGCTGGCATGTTGCTCTCCAGATGTTGTGCTCCACAGTTCCTGTCAGCCCAGCCAACAGGGGTAGAGGGGCCAGGTATGCGGTGCTGAGGACATCAGTTTGCATATAATGATTTATATGGATGGGTGCAGATTTGGAAACAATTACTAGAGTTTAAATAAAAATACATATCATGGTGAGGATGACAGTCAGTCTGTCTGCTCACCTAGCTGCCATGTGCTGCTGACACTGGACGGACAACTTCAAAGCTACCCATCTATCTTTTTATGGTTCTTTATCTTAAAGCAGACTTGGACTGGGCAGTCCTCAAAAAGAGGACAGTCCTCTTTAATGTAGGACACATGGCTACCCTAGGCCAGTAGTCAGGTCTGCAGGGAGTTGTAGTCCACCACTTTGGCTACTCCCGCTCTAGGGGGTGCCATTTTGTTTTGTATTCTGGGTAGAAAGCAGCTCTGAAGGCGAGCCCCTTGGTGCGGTTGTCAGATTTCCTGGATTCCAGACTTTCCTTCCAGTGCCCAGGTAGCACAATATTCTGTCTATATGCTACAGTTTCTACCTCCCCCACCTCATCCCTAAAAAGCCCACAACCCTCATTCCAATTTCAAAAGGCGTTTGGACTAACTTAAAAAAGCCCTCTGCAAGCAATCAGTTCATACAGTTCAGAGAAAAGGGGTTTCTCATTTCTGGCTATAGCCACTCTGTCCATTTTCATGTGCCCCCTGACAGAGATTACTTCTTGGGGAATGTGCGTTCTGCCTTTTGCACTGCAGAACTGTAGCAGCTTAGAGCAAAGAGGCAAGGGAACCTCTGGAGGTCCTGATGTTAGATCCCAAATTCTATCATCTCTGACTATGCTGGCAGCAGGTTCATTCATTGGCTGTTGAACATATTCCATCTTCATTTAACTGTGGGGTTTTTTGGGGGGTGGGGGAGCAGTGTTGACGTTTTTAAGATTTTCTCTTCTGAAAACCCGATGGTTCCCCTCAGTGTTAGAAACTCAGATATATATACTAGGTGCCATAAAATTAGGCGCCAAATGGCATCTCAAACCTAAGCTATGATCACCACAACAGAATGTCTATTTGCCAGGGGGTTGGACTAGATGACCCTTAGTGTCCCTTCCACTGCTACAATTCTAGGATTCTATGATCTCAACTACACTGCTTGACAACAGTTCTCTTGACCCAGTATGCAAGAAGGAGAAAGCACACTGTGGAAATGGAAATGGAAATGGTATTACCTATGGACTAGGGCAGAGGTTTTTAAACTGTGGCTGCCAGCCTGGCGTCCAGAAATCTCCATGTAGTCGTGTGCCAGTAGCAAAATACACCTGGGAAAATTCGAACACTGGTTCTCCTAAGCATGCTGATATCACCCCCTTGTTTCTCAGCAACGCTATTTCGACTCCACTTCTGTTGTCACTTGCCACTTGAGTTCACTATTCGAGGGATAATTTTTAAGAGATTTTGTGGCACATTCATGTACTCAAATTTAGATTTCCTTTTAAGCCATTTTTTTTAAAGCCTCCTATATTTAGAATTTAAAAACAGTTCTGTTTAAAATCCTATTCAAATTTAGAGACACACAAGCATACACTTTATTTATTTTTAAATTGTCCCATTTCTCCGCTCATATTTGCAGAGAAAGATGGTGAAATGTGTGTTGTCACCTGGTACTCAGCAAAAAGATATGCTCTCCTCCCAATCAGGAAAAAGTGAAGCTAAGTGATCTGCCCTAATTGTGGTCTGTGGTGAGCCTGTGCTAAGCCGCTCTAGTGGAGATCATAGAGTCATAGAATGACAAGGCAGGTGGGAGATTACTTACCCATGTTTGCTAATATGATTTTGCCGAAGAAGTTAATGGTTTTGACAGAATCCAGAGACTTTTAGTCTTTTGCTGAAAATCCAAGCGGTTAAAGCATATCGTGGCAAATTAATTAACTGATCGTTTATTGTCCTTTAACACACATCCGGTAGACTCATTAAGTGAGCCATCTTTGCTGCCCTGATATCTCCAATCAAGCTATTAATCCCTATTGTGAATACCATTCCCTGCTCACACCTCCCAGCTCCTTTCAAAGGAATAAGGAAGGTGCACAAAGGGTGAAATTAGGTTTTTGTCATGATAGCAGATGATATTGTAAATTGCTTTGAGGGTTTTTTAAAACTCTCATCAGCCCCAGCCAGCAAGGCCAGTGATCAGGGGTGATGAGAATTGTAGTCCAGAGTAACAATACATTTTATGAACTAAAATAAAGTTTTGAATACACAACTTTTGATGCAAAACACTCTGGTACAAGGAACCACCTTTGCCTCTCCTTCTTGTCATTCCTATATTTCCTTCCATTTCATCAGACAGTTCTTGTCAATATCCCTAAGATGTGCCAACGCAATGTGAATTTTTATGAAGCTGGGAACAAAACCATGCTTCATCAACTCAGGACTTTGTTACATATAAAAAGGATATGAAAAAGGAATGTTTGTCAAGTGATGTTATATGTGCCTTACGAATGGATTTTAGTAAATGTGACCTTCCCAATTCCAAGCTTGCTGTGTCCTCATTTGGTGAGAAGGTTGGGTGGAGTGGGGTTCGGCAACCCAGGAATTTCCTTGGAGATCAGTTCTGAGAAATCCAGGACAGGGGGTTCTCATTGTGCAAGCAACTGCCAGCAAATGCATTCTTGAATTTCCTCAAGTCTATTATTGGGCTGGTCGCAGAGTATGTTCTGAAGGCACACGAGGCTACAAAAATGATACAATTATGCACTATATAAAATAACTAAAATACCTTGCTGAAGCTAAGCAGGTCTAAATCTGGTCAGTGCCTGGATAGAACTATAATACAATCTTGGGTTTTATGATGGAAGAAAGGTGGCATATGAATGTAAGAGAATAAACAAGAATAAAACTAACAGTACAATTTCATGCATTTATACTCAAAAGCAAGTCTTGTTATGCTGCTAACTTTGGCCACTATCCTCAACACATTTACTAGCAGTTTGAAAGCATACCAGTGCAAGTAGATAAATAGGTACTGCTGCAGCAGGAAAGTAAATGGCATTTCTGTGTGCTTCTGACTTCTGTTATAGTGTTATGTTGCGCCAGAAGTGGTTTAGTAGTACTGGCCACATGACCCAGAAAGCTGTCTGCAGACAAACGCCGGCTCCCTTAGCCTAAAAGCAAGATGAGTGCCGCACCCCAGTCGCCTTTGATGGGACTTAACCGTCCGGGAGTTCTTTAACTGTTTTACTAGGAAGAAAGCACTGCATATTTCTGGGACTTATTTCTGAGTAAACCATCACATAATTGTAGAGTTGGAAGGGACCCTGACCCTGAGGAGCATTTAGGCCAACTCCCTGCAATGCAGGAATATGCATCTCTCCCATACAGTTACCGAAGCTGCAACCTTTGTGTCATCAGCACCGCGTTCTAACTAACTGAGGTATCCACATAGGAAGCTGCCTTACACTGAGTGAGACCATTGGTCTAGCTCACACTCAGTATACAGTGATTCTCAGGAGTTCTCCAGGGCTTCAGACAGTCTCTCCTAACCCTGCCTAGAGAAGCAAGGGATTGATTTTGGGACCTTCTGCATTCAAGGCAGATATTCTACTAATGAGCTACAGCCCTTGCTCTGTCAGTATGGCTCCTCCTCAGGTCTCTTCCCACCAAGTAGCCCTAAGGATTAGGGCATGGGTAGGCAAACTAAGGCCCAGGGGCCGGATCTGACCCAATCGCCTTCTAAATTTGGCCCGTGGATGGTCCGGGAATCGGCATGCTTTTACATGAGTAGAATGTGTGCTTTTATTTAAAATGCATCTCTGGGTTATTTGTGGGACAAAGGAATTCGTTCATTATTATTTTTTCAAAATATAGTCTGGCCCCCCTCCCCCCACAAGGTCTGAGGGACAGTAGACTGGCCCCCTGCTGAAAAAGTTTGCTGACCCCTGGATTAGTAGTACGACTCATGCAATACGATGGCGACTAATATACACACAATAATTACCAAAGTAATAATACATTCTTTATCAATCTTCTGAGAAAAATATAAAACCTTGTGCAAAGCCACAGAGACTTAAGAACTACCCAACCTAAGATGAACTTATAATGTCTGCTTTTAATGGATTTTTCAAATGCTTAACTCAGTCTTTTGTTCTCTTTATCTTTTTAAGTCCATGAAGATACCAACAAAGGGTAAGTTCGGTGTTGTTCACAATACCGAGAGATGCTAGTGAAGTTGTAGATGGATGTTAGTGAAGTTGTAGACAGGGTGCCGGCGTTTTGTACCTGTTTCGCCCTGGCAGTCCAAGTAATCAAGAGGCCGCTGTTCGCTCGCCTTTGCTTAGCAAGCTTACCCTCTTTGGATCTGAGTATAAATACACTGTTATTTCCCACACCTGTGGATAACCTTATAAATTCTTTACATCTGTGTTATCAGTGTCAGTTAGCTACACTGGTTAGTGAGTTCTGATCCACAAGTATTACATTTACCTGTATGGATATTCTGTCTAAAAGTATTCGGTATGTATGCCTCATTTATTAGTTATTCATTATTTAATATGCAGGTTGCTCAGTATTATTTTTGTTGTCATTCATTATATGTAATGTATTCAATTTCATCATCAGCTGACGAAGATTCATCTTGGAAACAGTAGATTCAATCCGGATATACTGTCTGGGACATCATCTATTGAAAGGCGTTGTGGTGTTCCCCACCAGCAATTCATTTTGTTGACTACTTCTTGGTTATTGACTGATATTTTGAAGTTGATGAATTGTAAACTTTGAATGACATTCTACTACTAATAATAACGCATTTACTATATTCATTAGCCACATGTTGCGGCTGTATTTGAGCAGACGTTTGTCCACAGACAGCTTTTCGGGTCATGTGGCCAGCATGACTAACCCACTTCTGGCACAAGGGAACACCATGACGGAAGCCAGAGTGCACAGAAACGCTGTTTGCCTTCCCGCTGCAGCAGTACCTATTTATCTATTTGCACTGGTGTGCTTTCGAACTGCTAGGTTGGCTGAAACTGGGTCAGAGCATCCGTCGCAGGGATTCGAACCGCCAACCTTCTGATCGGCAAGCTCAAGAGGCTCAGTGGTTTAGACCACAGCGCCATCCACGCTGTTTGACAGCGGAACAGACTCCCACAAGAGGTTGCGGGCTCTCCTTCATTGGAGCTTTATAAGCAGACGTTGGATAGCCATCTCACAGATGCTTGGGTTGAGATTCATACATTTTGCACCAGGCGACCCTCAGGGTTCCTTCCAACTCTCCACAATTCTATGGCTGCTATTTCCAGGTGCCTATCCAAGAAACGCAGAGACGTCTGTGTTCTTACCCCTAACACCAACTGGGCTCAGGCCCACCCTATACAGTTCTGATCTCCTGGAAAAAAACAAATCGGCTGAATTAGAGACATTGTGGGGGGTTAGGGATGCTGATGACTGGTATGGAAGAAGAGCTTAGAAACCCAGGAGCCCCTTTGTTGTCTATTCCCTTCCCAGAACGGCGAGGAGGAATCTTTCTGGGGAAACGATGCGGGCTGCAACCTTCTGGAGGCGGCGGCGGAGGCGCTTTGTCTCGGGGACGCGCGTGTCGCAGCCCTCGAGTGGCCTCTGTCCTTTTAACCACCGCAAATCCGACGCCTCCTCCCGGCACTGCGGCGAGCGAAGGGGAGGGCTGGGCGGCGCCCTCTCGCGCAAGGGGAACGCCTGATGCCAGGATGGGATTTCCTGGGGACGGCCTTCGACGGGGCACAGCGCCTTTTGCGCCCGCAGTCTGGGGTTTCCCGGGAGTCTGGTGAGCGATTGCGAGCCTTCCTGGGCGGGGGGGGGGGGCTGGTTTCTCGGGGGTGGGAAGTGGGGAGGATCGGGTTGCTTTTCAGGGTTGGGTGGGGGGAGTTGCGACGGAGAAACAATAGGAAGGGGGCAGGAATCGCGCTCTGCAGTCGCCTGGAGCGCTGCAAAAAAGGGGGGATGGGGGAGGTTGTTGCTTGATCCTCCCCCCTCCGTGGTCTTCTCAGCCTGCACTGCGATCTCTTTGGGGGCCATTGCACGGAAACGCGCCCCAGGACTTTGTTTTCCTTTCCCACGCACCCCCTCCTTTTCCAACCCCCCCCCCCATCTCAGTAATCCATGCATGCAGCGCTGTGGGGCTGGAAAGAGGGGCGGGCAGGGGTTTCGTGCCACCCCCCTTCTCAAACTGGGGTAGCAGCTGCTTTAGGAAGGCGAGAAGAGTCGTTGCACTGCGTTTCTAGGGACCGATCCTCCTCCTGCGGGTGGCTTTCCTTGATCCCGTCTCCGGCGATCTGTGGCTTCCCTTCTCCCTCTATAGGGGGTGGGCGTGCATTGTAAGTATCGGTTTCATATTTTGCTCACCCATCGAGCTGGTTTGTTTGCTTTCCCCCCACCATCTGGTCTGCTTTTTCCTTTCACAGTGACTCATTCTCTTTGAACTGCCGTAGCTGGCGGAAGCCGCAATTTTACATGGCGGGGTCAACCAGCAGTAGGGAAGTTTTGCAGCTGGCTGCCTTGTGGCTTGCGACCAGGGCAAGTGATTCAGAGGACACGCTTGCCCTAAGCGGGGTGCAGAACAAAACAAATGGCTAGCCACGGACATGCGAATAGGCCTTCTGCATTCGTTCCATATTTAACTCGCTGTTACGACCTCCTGCCCTATCAGCCTAGTTTATCTCAGAGGGTTCTATATTTTTATTTTATTTACTCTAGCTTTCTGATCGTTTTGGTTGCCTTTTTCCACACCTTTTCCAGCTTTACATGCACGTTGCCAACCACCCTGTGCTAGCCTAGCTTTATTTACTGCGACTAATACCTATGCAATTATCTTAATGACTGGTGTTATGTTTACTGTAACTGTAGAAAGTTCCACAGGCTATACTATATGTTCTGAGGAACTACACATTCATGATTGATTGAGTGTGTAGCAATAATTGTTTTCCCCTACATTGAAACATATTTAGAACAGAGAGTGGACATGAAATCTTGATTCTGCATCTCTCACTAGCAGGTTTTCAGCTCAGCAAAGTGTGTTTTGGTCTTCTGGATGGCCCAGGTTGATGGAAATTATGTTCCAGAACTTCAGAGGTCTGAGGATGGGGAGATCCCAAGGGGAACAATCTTTTCAGGTGAGAAATTGGGCACAATCACACTGTATTATTTATTGATGAAAAATTATAAAGCTCATTTCCCCACTAATTCACTTCAGATTGACAGATTCACTACATTTCTCTTAAAATAAGTTAATAGAATCATTGCCACAAGGGAATATTCACTTATTCAGATTTTTGGAACACACTTTGTATTGTAGTCCTATTACAGAAATGTTAGTCTACTATACACCTCAGGCACACACAATCATTCTTTTTGTGTTGTTGTTGTTGTTGTTACTAATTCTCATTTTTTATTATTAGATTTTACACTTGTCCTTCACCCATATATATATCTATATATCTATATATATCCCTGGTGTCAAAGGCCAAAGTAAATAAGTGCATGTTCAGCATATGACTGTATATCCTGTACCCAAAAGTGAATCCCTCCTTTCATTTGGCTGAATAAATACTTGCACAGGTATGTGTGTCTGTACTTTGTGCTCCAAACCACCTCCCAAAACATACTCTGTGACCGGGATGCTTATACTCTGAAATCAATGAATTATGCAAACTATGCATAAATACTAAGTTTTACATAATTTCTTCTGTTTCTGGGGTGGAAGCTTTGCAAAAAGTTGGAATTTTAGATTGAGAAGTGAAGAAACACTGGGGGGAAATTAAATGAGGAAATGGAGATTCTTCTTAGCTCCTTTTCAAAACTATGAGCAGTAGAAACTTAGTTTTTGCTGGTTGTTGCCAAATTCAGTGCTAGACAGCAAATGCAAAGGTTTCAGCTGAAGCCCATAACTTGTTTTTAGTATCAGTCTTCAGCCCTGGAACATGTGTGGTATTATTAGACGACCTTTGAGTATATGTATGTTCATGTTCCATTGAATATTATGTTTACTTACATGTTATTCTTACCCTTATCCTCACTACAGTGAGGCAGGTTAAGCTGAGAGAGAGCAATTTGATCAGCCACCCAGTGAGCTTTGCAGCTGAGTGTAAATTTGACCCTCGATCTCCCCGGTCATAGTCCATCCCTAATAATTACGTAACAGTTGTATACAACTGGGAATAGGGATATCAGGAGTGGTTTCTGTGGTAGCAGCCCCAGCATCTCCCCTTACCACCCACCCACCTACAGTTCTTAAACAGGGCATCAATCTAACGCTCAATTTCCTGGTTTCTGCTGATTGGCTGTTTGTCACATGACAGAACCCTGAGCAGAGAGAACAACTGGTCTGACGTAGCCTGGGAATTCCTAATCTCTGGTGGCAACTTGTCCTCAATACGGGCAGGGAGCCAAGCTTTTTAAAGTACATATGGGGCTGAGATGCTTACAATATTCTCCACACAGGTGACGGAATGGTGAACGAGGAAGTGGCATTTCTTCCTAATGCGGCAGCTGCGGAAAATGCCCCCCGAACCCTTCAGAACATCTGTCGGGTAAACCCCCCGCCGCTCCGGCGTCGCCGCAGGAGATCGAACGCGCCGGCCATGGGGGGTTACATCAATGTGCTGGGCATCTTAGAGGCCCCGCCAAGCTCCCCCCGGCGTGCGCCCGAGAAGCCGTTCCACTGCACCGATTGTGGGAAGAGCTTCTCTCAGAGCTCCAACCTGATTGAGCACCAGAGGATCCACACGGGGGAGCGCCCCTTCACGTGCAGCGAGTGCGAGAAGAGCTTCAGCCGCAGCAGCACCCTGGTGGAGCACCAGCGCACCCACACAGGCGAGAAGCCTTACACGTGCCTGGAGTGCGGGCGGGGCTTCAGCCGCAGCTCCACCCTGGTGGAGCACCAGCGCACCCACACCGGCGAGACGCCCTTCCCCTGCCGGGAGTGCGGGAAGGCCTTCAGCCGCACCTCCAACCTCATGAAGCACCTGCGCACCCACTCGGGCGAGAAGCCCTACACCTGCGCCCTGTGCGGCAAGTGCTTCTCCCTCAGCTCCAACCTGCTGAAGCACGAGCGCACCCACTCCGGGGAGAAGCCCTTCCCCTGCCTGCTCTGCGGGAAGCGCTTCAAGAAGAAGACCCACCTGGTGTCCCACCACCGGGTGCACACCGGCGAGCGGCCCTACCGCTGCGAGGAGTGCGGCAAGTGCTTCTCCCAGAGCTCCATCCTGATCGAGCACCAGCGCATCCACACTGGCGAGAAGCCCTACAAGTGCGCGGACTGCGGGAAGGGCTTCTGCGTCAGCTCCAACCTCATCAAGCACCAGAGGATCCACACGGGCGAGAAGCCCTACACCTGCTCGGTCTGCGGCAAGGCCTTCCGCTACAAGCCGCAGTTCACCCGTCACCAGAAACAGGTGCACCCTGTGGAGGAGGAGCCGGTGGCCGCTCTCGCCTTGCACCCCTGGGCGGAGACGCCCCCTCTGCTGCAAAATATCTGAGAAAGCAGAGAGCAGGGCTGCCCTACGGTTTCTTTATGATAGTAGCCCCTTTCACTCGCTTCCTGTCTCTCCCTCTAGGCCCCTGTAGAGCTGTATCCCAGGCCTCTTTGACTAGCTTTAGCTCCTTGGAACAAAAGAGCTTCTGATCGGACCCTCTACTTCATTCCTGCATTGCAAGGGGTTGGACTGGATGATGAGGTCCCTCCCAGCTCTATACTTCTATGATTCGACTCTGCACCCATCAGATCTCTTCTCCTTGCTTCCCTGATCGTGACTGGCAGAGCTCATCAAGGCCATTTATGTGCTTCGCCATAGGTTGGGCAAAGGCTGAGCATTCAAATTAAGAGTCTGAGCACGCAGTGGTTGGCGCTCCAGTGCTTTCTCCCAAGTCCGGTGTTCACTGTCATGGTTCTCCTGCCCAGCATACATAGCCATGCTGCAGGTGTGTGAACAGTTGCACACCTCTGGAGAGTAGTACTTGCCTCCAGGTCACTAGGCAAAAAAAGCATTAATCATATGGAAGAGAGCTGGTTCTTTTTCTCCTGGAACTGACAGCAGAAAGTGGTCTGGCAAGCTAATAATCTCTGTGTGCTAACCTGCCAATCTGTCCTACTAGTTGCCTAACCCCTGCTTCTATGCTCTTCTCTGTCACTCACTTCATCCCTCTGCCTCCTTACTCTTTATTACTCCTGCAGAGTATGCAGAAGTCTGTTTCACAGCCTGGCCCTGCTTCTCGAGACTTCTAGCTCGGCTTGCTGCAAAAGTGAAACTGGCAAAGGGCTTCTATACGCTTTGCCTTCAAGCCAATCAGTTTCAGCTCCCTGTGACAGGACAAAGGAGTGCTCCTCCTTTGTGTGCTGAAGCGCACATCATCCCGCCTTTGGAGCGAGGGGGGGAGATCTTTGGACCTCCAGGGCTGTTGCTGAACTACAACTCCCATCAGCCCCAGCAAACATGGCCAACAGCCAGAGGTGCTGGGAGGGCCAAAGCTTCCACACACCTGCATGAGAGCAAGGGTGTGGAACCTGCTCCCCCCCCCCAGTGTTGCTGGGCCACAGCTTCCATCATCCCCAGTCGTTGGTCATGCTGGCTGAGGCTGTTGGAGTTCAACATCTGGAAGGCTGCAAGGTCCTCAACGCTTCTTTAGAGGGAGCAGGGACATTTGAGTTGGGATTTCTTCAGACTTTCCTGGAGAGGCTCCAAGATGAATGTGACCTCCCTTTTGCTTTCTCTACGGTTCCCCCTCTGCAGCTTGCACTAGCGTCAAGTGTGGGCACTGTGGGGAGTCGGGTCATTCCCCATCCATGATGCCAAGGACACTACCGGCAACAATGTGCACACAGCCACATTTCAGATAGCACTTCAGATAACACTTCAGGTGGCCCCATGAGCTGGGTATGGAATTGCATGTTCCCAGTGACAAGCAGATTTTTTTTTGGGGGGGGGGAATGCAATGTCCCCCTAACAAAAAGCGCTTCCCCAAGGAGTGAGGAGTTTGGAGCCCTCACACCAAAGGAGAAACTCAACACACATTTGTTGTGCTGGTGAGCATCCAGACTATCCGGACAGTCCCCTAAGCTTGACTTAAGCTTCTCTCCTTGTCAGCAGCAAGGACATTTTATTAAGAGCATTAAAAAAAGGATGTATTGCTACCTAAGGTCGTCAAGCAATTCTGAAAGAGTTGTAGTGTGAGTCTGTAGCAGCCCTGGTCTCCTTTGGGAGGAAGGGCAGTCTATAAAGAAAAAAAGAGGGAAAGAGCATAAAGTTCTCAAGTACACTCATACCACAATAAATCAATTGGTTTTTAAAGTGCAACATGCAACAGGCTCTTTGGTTTTATTTTTTGACTGCCTTTGAGACGGTGTTTTTATTCCATGTATCAACTGCCCTTGAGAAAATCAATTGTGAAGAAATTGTGTATACCTAAACCCCCTTCATTGTAAGTTACCAAAATAAATGTTTTTCACCCAGTTGCTCATCTTGACCATCCTTTTGTCTAACTGTTTTGTGTAGGTGGAAGAGAGGAACATCCAAAACATGTGGAGAATCATACAATTATACAAAGCTGTCATGTGTTCTCCCTTGTAAGACCTACAGTCACTGAGGACTCTTCCATGAAGCAGCGCCATTATTTATATACACCACTTGATCCAAAATAGTTTTCTAAGTGGTATGGAAGTATATTTATTTAAGGCATTTATATAACGCTTAATTTGCATTTCTAAGCAGCACACATAAAAATAAATCACACATGGTAAAACAATTAAAAGTCATCATAAAGGTAAAGCTAATGACTACCTTAAAATATAGAGTCTAACAACCAATTATGCAAGCATTAAAATAAAAACATAGTTTAATGTTTAATATAGTAATGCTGTTAAAATAACACAGCGATTAAAACAGGTGACTCAAGTGTTCAATGGGATTGCTGTGTAAATGGCAGTGTCATCTTGAAAAGCAGGACAATTTTTAAAATTTAACACTTTTATTTAACACATTTATATCCCACCTTTCTCCCGTCAGGATTCAAGGTGACTTGCAACATGTAAAAACATCAGTGATAAAATACAGATCAAAATAAACTAGTGCAAAACAATAATTAAAACGCATCAGGACGCATTCTGATTATTTTGTTCATTAAATTTATATACTGCCCTTTATCCAAAGACTGGCTTGATAGGTGATGTTCACGCACCTGCTGGCTAGCTCAAGAGACGGGGCTTTTTTGGTGGTGGTCCACAGCTGTGGAACTCTCTTTCAAATGACTTGCGCCTTGTTCAGGCACTTAAGCAAAACGGAAAGACCTTTCTCTTCACCCCTACCTTCAATGAAGGCTTTGAATGGCTTAACCAGAGCAGCTTCCCTTAGTAGCATATTCCTTTCCGAAGTGCCTGCATTATTATTGTTGATGTGCATCACTTTGGGAGGGCACAGCTAAACATCTTTTTTAAGCTAAACTATGCAGCTTATAAAAATATTTTTAATTAGACAAACAAACCAAATATAGATGACGCCGCTTGCGTTTCAGCAGGAATTGCACCAGCAACAACAACAAAAAAGCCCTCTGCTTCACAAGAAGCTGGTGCTATTATTTATTCATTAAATTTATATATTGCCTTACAGATAAAATAGGAATAGCTAAAAACGGGGGTGGGCAGGGAAGGAACAATAAACACAAAATTGAAAGTAGGTAGATTGATAGATTAAAATGTGCAGGTGACTTTTTTTGATCATTTTTATTAATTTTCAATTACAGTCCAATAATAGCCTCATTGTAACAATGCCAAATTATAATACAGTTGCTAATACCAATCATTCAAATACCAAATTAAATAATTTAGGTGCCCTCCCCCCCACCTGCCAGAACTGATGGTTTGGTGATTTTCTTTATTTCTGCATTCCAAAATTCCTGGTTTCAAGTACATTCCGGTCAAAATAATAAAATCCTTGTGCAACAACTGCAATATTAATAACTTCTATTCGTGTTGGCACATTAAATGATTTATCGTACAGACAACTATGGGGGGGGTGAAAGCTTCCCCAACCCCAACCTAGTGGATTTCCCTTTTTAATACGAAAGAGGAGGATCTGTTCATTTTCTTAGCTACGTGGCCATAGCAAATAACGTCTTGCTTTTTTTCCTTTGGCCCCCTAAAACAAGGGACCCTTTTCCAGGATCTGCGCCCCCGACAAAAGCAAGTTCGGGCTCCAGGAGGCTCTAGGCCTCGCGCGTTCCCTCCGGTATCCCGGCAACCGCCTCCAGGATCCCCCCTCCCTCCCCTCTGGTCCAGGTTCCCCCTGCATCACGTGGACGCCAGTGAGGATGTGACGTCATCTCTGGGCTCCCTCCTCCTCCTCCTCCGCTGGCGTAACCGACTCGCAAGCCTCCAGGTTGTGGCAACTGCTGCCCGCGGGTGGTGGTTTTTTTTTGCAACGGACCTGGCTTCCGTCTGCAGTGGGGAGTTCGTGAGAAAAGCTTCCCCGAAGATGGAAGGGGAGAGCTCGCAAGGTGCGGAAGGGAGGGAAGAATCCCCCGACCAAGGTAAGTAAGGGAGAGCAAATCTCCGTTAGGGAGCAGCGTTGGAAAAAGAAAAGGGGTGCGGTGGGGTGCAGCCAGGAGCTCAATGTTAGATTGCAATTAAAAACTAAACAAAACCCCGCGAGTGAAGGGTTCGCGATCGCGTTCTGCCCCACCGAACAAACAAAAAAAGGAGCAAGCAAGCAAGAATGCCTTTTTTCGTTAAAGGCAGCTAGTGTCAAAATTCTGGAAACACAAGCCGCCTGAGTTTCACAGCTATAGGTGTTCAGGGCAGAAACATTATGAACGTGCATGAATGCATAGATTTTAGGGGGTATCTTACATGCCCAGGTTAATGGAGATGCATGGGATAAAAATAATATTCAACTTAATCATTTTTTTGTGAGCGGTTATACTAATAAGTTAAGCAGCTTTAGAGATGCACAGGACTCCCCCCCCCCCCAAAAAGACACCGTTTTCTGCACTTTGAAAACTTGATGCATTATCACAATGTATGGTGTGATAAATAGGATTGAAAATCATTATACCTGTATTTTTTGAGATCAACAAAGCACCCATTCTGGAACTTAGATCAAAAAATTTCCTGGAAATCTGGAATGAGATACGGGTTTGTTTTGGTGTGCAGCCGGAAACCTGATAATTTGAAGTTGGAAAAATGGGTGAGTGGGAGGCTGGTGTGTGTTAAAGCACTTAAATGACAGGGATGGTATGGGGAGCTGACAGGGAATTTGTGTGGTTGGAAAATACTGCTTTTAAAACACCCTGGAATGGGAACAATACGTTGGTGGGGAAACCTTGGTTATATTCTGTGGAGCTGGGTATTCTAGAACAATAAAACATTTTTAATGGGTGTTTTAAAAATAGGATGCTTGGCAACTATCACACCCTTTGTCATTTTCATTCCCATTCCCATTGAGGGATTCAAAGTTCCTATATCCTTACTACCGTTTGGGAGATGCAGTTAACTACTTTGGCAAGACAAGCAGTGTGTTCCCCACTCTTTATCAGAGGGTGCTCTGTCCTGCCTGCCTGTTTCAGGCTTGTGGAGGTTTTTCTTTCCTATCCCTTTGAAACTTTCCCTTGCTTTGCTATGTACTGTATTATTAAAAGTTTCTCAAGATTGAGACTGGCATTTAATTTAGTGATCTGATCCAGGTTCATACTTTAGCAACCCAGGCAATCAGGGGTTGGGGGTAAAGTATGATAAAGAACATAGACATATGGCCCTGAATGTTCTCTCATCCTAGGAAAAGCTCCCTGAGCACTGTAAGCTGGCATGTCAGTGGCTGAATCTCAGCACCCTAAGATAGCTTTCCATAGTAATGTGTCAGTGGCTTCTTTGTTCTCAAAAGGGATATTGCAGTGAATATTCTTCACTACCTAGCTAGTCAGTTTCCTTCACAGGTTCTACTTCTTCTGCTTTGTTCCTCTCAGCAGATGCTGGATTTGAAAGCCGGATGGAGGCAGAAGATCTCAGAATAGAAGTCCCTGAAGGAAGAGGAGAGGTGCAGGCGCTGGAAATGACTTTGAGCACTGAGCAGAGAGGAGAAGCACCAAAGAGCAGCAGAGGTGCTGGAAGACACCTGATGGACCGAGATGGTGAGGACACAACAGAGGGCGAGCCACATCCTCCAAACAATTCCCAGAGTCCCAGTGACTGCAACAGTCAGCCAAAGGTAGAGGAACAGAGATGGAGGAGCCAGGTGAGAAAGCGCCGGGCAAAGGAGACTTCCTATGATCCTCCAGGTTTTATCAACCTTTTGGGTATCCTGGAACCTCCTCCTCCCCCTGCCCCCCGCAAGCCGGTGGTGAAGCCCTACCACTGCACCGAGTGCGGGAAGAGCTTCTCGCAGAGCTCTGTGCTCATCGAACACCAGAGAATCCATACCGGGGAGCGCCCTTTTGTGTGCAATGTGTGCGGGAAACGCTTCTCCCAAAGCTCCACCCTGATGGGGCATCAGAGGATCCACACCGGTGAGAAGCCCTTTGCCTGCCCCGAGTGTGGGCGGGGCTTCAGCCGGAGCTCCGCCCTGACGGAACACCAGCGCACCCACACCGGCGAGACGCCCTTCCCCTGCCGGGAGTGCGGGAAGGCCTTCAGCCGCACCTCCAACCTGGTGAAGCACCTGCGCACCCACTCCGGGGAGAAGCCCTACACCTGCACCCTCTGCGGGAAGCGCTTCTCCCTGAGCTCCAACTTGCTGAAGCACGAGCGCACCCACTCCGGGGAGAAGCCCTTCCCCTGCCCGCTCTGCGGCAAGTGCTTCAAGAAGAAGACCCACCTGGTTTCCCACAATCGGGTGCACACCGGGGAGCGGCCCTACCGCTGCGAAGAGTGCGGCAAGTGCTTCTCCCAGAGCTCCTCCCTCATCGAACACCAGCGCATCCACACCGGGGAGAAACCCTACAAGTGTGCCCAGTGCGGCCGAGGGTTCTATGTCAACTCCAAGCTGGTCAAGCACCAGAGGATCCACACGGGCGAGAAACCCTACGCTTGCTCAGCTTGCGGGAAGACCTTCCGGTACAAGCAGCAGTTCCCGCGCCACGTGGCCCACGTCCACCCTGGGGAGGAACAGGTGTCTGTGCTCACCTTGGGCCCCAGTGTTAACGTGCTGCTCTCATAGAGCTGGAACAGGCCGCTGCCCTTTGGGGCTTCAGGTCCTCTGGCTTCCAATGAAAGGCATCATGCAGTGCCAGATTTGGTAACTCTGTAGCCTGTCCGGTTTAGCCTCTCATTGCTAAGATGTGAAGCGGTTCCTGGGACCTCCAAGGGTCATTCTAGTGGCATAAAGACAGTCAGTGGCTCACAAGACTCGTTCCATCCTCCTGTAGAGGAGCTGTTTCCTGAAATGACGAGGGTTAGCATTCATGGCTTGTCATTGGGAAAGGAGCTGGGGAAATCAAGGCCGCTTTGCTTCAGGGGGGTCCCAGACTAGTGTAAATGTGCAGTAGCACCAAGGACAGCGGCAACCTGAGATCTTGTTTCAGAGGGAAATGTTGACCACTGCAGTGATTCCGTTACTGCCCATGCATTGTTTTTTGAGGGGTATAGAACTCAAAACGGTTCACTACTGATAACTGTGCCTTTCCGTTCCGTGAGGGTATTCCTGGTATCCTCCAGCAGCTCCCTTGCGGCATTTGTCCTTTCCGTCTTGTTTTGAGGACAGGCAAACGGATTTCGCGAGGGCCTCTTTTTCTCCTTTTCCTTCTTAGTTTGCAGTATTGCCGAATAAGTTAGGCAAGTGTGTATTTCCTAGGCCTTGTTTCATTTCTCAAGGAAAGGCAAAATCATAGTGTGCAGTTCTTTACCATATTATCTAAGGGACAGCCAGTTAATCTTTTGAGGATGTTTTTTCCATCAGTGTTGTGAAGGTCATTCTGAGAATGCATTTCTGTTATCAAATGGAGGAGAACAGCAAACAAGCTCTGAGGTAAAAAATTCTACTGGTTTTAATGGGGATGGGGCCCCCCTGTTTGGTATTCAGGACAATCCCTACAGAGCCAGCATGTGAAATACTGTGGGTATCCATCTTGGTTGAGAGAAAATGCATTTTGACTGTTGTTGGGTCTTTAGGATAACCATGGTAGCCTCAAATGTTGTCCAGTTCTCACTGCAGAGTCCAACTGAATAAGCCATTCTTCTAGATCAACAACACAAACAACGTAACAGGCTGCATGTAACTATATAAGAATAATGGCACATGTAGAAAATAAGCTCAGGGGTTGCATAACTAGTTAGCATGCCAGAAAGCTCACCTGGCCTGGACACGGAAAGGATTGAGAGATTGATAGCTCTTTCTCGATTCTGTGGGTGGTGGTGCATGGCCGTTCTTAGTCGGTGGAGCGATTTGTCTGGTTAATTCCAATAACGAACGAGACTCTGGCATGCTAACTAGTTATTCGACCCCGAGCTTATTTTCTGCATGTCTGATACATGCATACAAGGAACGCTAGATTCTTAAAAGCATCTTCACATGGAACACTACAAGATTGATATAATAATTCCACACCGTGGATATTGCTAATTTAAGAACTGAATACTGTACATTGTATTTCCTGGTCTATCTGCTGGACTTTAATTTCTCATAATACATTTCGTTTATATGATAAGTTGGTCTATAGAACCATATATTTTGATATATGTTGAATCGCATTTGAAAAAGAATTTATATAGTTACATACAGCCTGTTACGTTGTTTGTGTTGTTATCAGTTTTGTATTTACGTGACAAAGGGTTTGGTAGTGTTTTGATTCTTCTAGATCAGGCTGGGGGACCTTTTTCCAGTCCCAGGGCCTCGTTCCCTCATGGACAACCTTTGGGCTGCAGCATGGAAGGGAGGGTTGCAACAGCTGTGATTACATTCCAACCAAGCAAAAGTCACCAAGAAATGGTACACGCACAAACTTACTTCTCAGTCCAGGCAAGTAAGAGACATTATAACAGTTAAAGAGCACATTCCAGTCTGACCAACATGGTCTGGGGAGTCTCAAGGGTCAAACAGAGATAACTAGAGGGCCACATTTAGGGTCAAAAAAACAGCAAAGTGTGGTTCCTTTGTCCTCCTGGCAGACACAAAACTGCTAGACCTTGGATGGGGAAACTGGGTATGATCCTGCCTAAGCCAAACACATCAAGTTCCACCTATTTCAACAGTTCATTGTTTCTCCCGCTATACTCACAGACTTTTAAGTTGTTAACTTTGGCTGGATTGTGAGAATTAGGAACATGGGAAGCAGCCTTATACCGAGTCAGAACATTGGCCCCTCTAGCTCAGTTTTGCCTCCACTGACTGGCAGTAGTTCTCTAGGTCAGTGGTTTTCAACCAGTGTGTCATGGCACCCTGGGATTCCTTGAATGATGGTCAGGGGTGTTGTGGGCAACACTGGCCTCTGTCCCTCTTCCCTCTCTCCCTCTGATGCCCTCTCGCGTCTCTGCCTCCGACAGGCTTGCACAGCTATTCGTTGCAGCAGCCCTGGATACAAGCACCCTAGGCGAATGGTGCCTTTGGAGCTGGCCAGAGGGTGCTTCCAAAGCCCCTGTGAGGCAGTGTGAGGAGGCACCTCTCTTTGGGACCAGCAGCTCAGAGACCAGGGGCAGCAGCTGTGGCTGCCTAAATGATTCCCAAGGAGAGGAAAGAGGAAGCTGAGGGAACACACCACAAGGGAGGGTGCTCAAAAAGGGGTGAGAGGCTGCCCGCTCTGAAGACAAGGGGTGACATAACTGGGCTCCTGAGCCCCACAGGGGTGCCGCAGAAAGACTGTAGTTGGTCAAGGGAGCCGTGGACCCAAAAAGGTTGAAAACATCTGCTCTAGGTTTTCAGAGATGCCCGGGAATGAACCTGGGGCCTCCTTTATGCAAAACAAAGCTCTACTGAACTAAAGCTCTTCCTCCCTTTTATTAGTTTCTTCCCCTTCTCCAAAAAGACTCATTTGAGCAAGAAGTCATTTAATTGAGGAGTTTGTCCTTTCCAGCAGAGAATTTCCTTGAATCACAAAGATCTTCACAAGGTCAGAATTTCATGAGGACTAGGATGGAAAAGCAAAGCTGTTCTACAGTTGAATGAATAGCAGGCATGCAAACCCTAAGCCACTTACCTGGAGGTCAGTTCCACTGGATTCCAGCAGGCAAGGCAGCTGTGGTGAAACCACCACAGGGTGAGTATTAAATGCTCAGACGTACCTCAGACAGCCAGTGAAAGCAGACTTCACTGTGTTGGGTAAGACATTTGAAAGATGTGAGCTAAGTGAGTAGCAAACAATCATGGCCATCTGCAGGGAGGGCAGGGGCAGTAGCCGTTCCCCCAGATGAGACGTATTCTCCAAATTCCCAGCTTGCATTAAAAAAAAAACAAAAAACAGAAGCACTTGAGGAACCCAAGACTTGAGGAACGTCAACACTAGGCATGGTCTTCAGTGGTGAGTTGTGGTTTTGTTTTTGAGAAAGCAGATTGCTCCTGCCTTTCAGTGTTTTTAGCCAATGAATGAGGTCATAGTCGTGATAGACATTTGGGAAAGCAGATCTGACCAGTTAGACATAAAGGAGGCTAGAGTGAAACACCCATTGTCGAGGCCAGCCTTTCTTAAATAGTGTTCAGCAAAACCCTGAGGTTCCAACAAAGCACTCTAAAAAAAATGTTGTAATGATGGGCACTGCTGAAGCACTGCTGAAGCACTAGTCTTGGGAACTACTGTTATGTTTATTATGGTTGTTATTTATTAAATTTGTATACCACCCTATACCCGCAGGTCTCAGGGCGGTTCCCTTCCCTTTCTTTCATTCCCTCGCAATTTCCAGGGGTTACATTTCAGTAGCGCCCAGCAGCACAGGCAGGGCTGCATGGCTTCCCTGCCTTCCTAATGCCATGCAGCAGAGCCAGTCTGCCACTCCTCACTGCCTTGCCTCCTTCTAGGTAACCAGGATTAACCAGAATTGGGAAAATGTCCAGGAAAATCCAGAAATAACAACAGTGTTGTTTTTGCCGATTTCCCTTAAAAACAGCTCAATAACGTCTTTTTTGCGATTTTGCCCAAAAAGCTCAACAACTGTGCCAAAAAAGCTCAGCTTTTGTGTCTGGATTTTCACTTTTGGAAATATGGCAACCCTAGGTAAGCATCAAACTATCCTTCCAGCACTGACCCTCCAGCGGTATAGCTTGGGGGGGAGGCATGGCTCTGGGCGCAAAATTATGAGAGGACACAAGAAGGCACCCCCAGGACAGCTGAATTCCACTGCTTCATGTAATTTATTCTGTAGTCAATTTTGAGGGATTGACTCTGCTCATCTCCTTATTTTTCTGTGCAAATCCAAATTGTTTCAGCAGATTTGTGAGTAAATGTTATAGTCAGCAATTGAAGCAATAAAGAAATCAACACAGGAAGCTGCATTACACTGAGTCAGACCATTGGTCCATCTAGCTCAGTATTGTCTACAGTGACTGGTAGACATCCTAAGATGTCAGACAGGGATTTCAAGGATTTCAGACAAGGCACATTCCCAGTACTACCTAGAGATGTCTGGGATTGAACCAGGGACCTTCTGCATGCAAAGCAATTGCTCTAGCCACGCCCCTTTCCCCAAATGGCATGATGCTCAGTTGCCCAGATTGTGAAGCTAACAAATAAAAAAGAAGATAGACAAGGCAATTCCTACAAGAGATCTGAGAAAGATTTGCAAAAGCAAATGTAGCCAAACTTGACATAACAGCACCTGGTCAATATGGAATCAGATTCCAAACATTTTACTCCAAAATAATCAAAGTATGTTTTTAATAACACCAACTCAAGCCTTATTTTAATTTCTGCTGGCTCTGTTAATAGGGAGCAATAGAGGTACCTACTTTCCCATTTAAGTGTGTTAGGTGAAAATAATAACAACTTAAGTTACTTAGTGTTATCCTCCACAAAAGAGTAAAAAGGCTGTGTGGAATATCTGCCTTGTGCGTTTTAATAGTTTTGTACTGACTGTGTTTCAGACTGTGACTGTTTTCTTTCTAACCCCCCCCCCTTAATGGCTCATTAAAAACCATAATTTCACACAACCTAAATGTTCTGGCTTTGTCTGCAGCGCAGGGTTTGTTCTATCCACAAATAACACTCTATTTAGTTATGAGGAGTCCAGTGTGGTGCATTCTGGAACAATGTCTTTGAGACATATTGTGGGAGGTCTTCGAGCAGCAATTCCCAACTGTTTACTGCAATTTTAAAAGGTTTTCTGTGAATTCAAAGCACACACGCATGCCTACTGTGGCTCTGCATAAAATATCATTTTGGATTTCTCTCCCAGTCCGCCTTTATTCAGGGCAGGTAATCCAGGTCTTTGTACATATCAGAATTGATTGGGCATTAAATCCCCATTCCATTATTTATTAGATATCTGTATCCCACTTTTCCTAGTTGAGACTGAGGTGGCTAATGCCAACATGATTTTTATTTTACAAAAGCACACTGAGCTATAAAGCATAGAAATGCAAGAGATAGAGCCGTTACACATCTTCAGAGTAAGGTGTGTGTTGCATCTCTGAATGAGATAACGCTCTGGACTTTGCTTGCTCCATTCAGTTTCAGCTGGGAAACTGAATTTGATTTGTTAGCAAGGTTGGGTAATTTGCACTGGATGCGACTGCCTCATACAAGCGTACCCAGTGCAGAGGCTGTGCTCTTACCCATCCTCTGGGACAGCTGCCTGTTGCATCTCTGTGTGAGTCACTGCGCTACACTTGCCTCCTCCATAACTCCTGAGCAGGGCCGGATTTAGGTTTGATGAGGCTCTTGTAGCCTTATGAGGCTTTGCCCTCGGGTGGGAAAAATATTGCGCCTGGGAAAGGGAAGTGGGAGTCAACAGACACTCAAGGAATAGTTTCGGAGAAAAGGCTTTTATTTCTACCATCCATGAACTGGTAGAAGGAGCAAGTGTGATAAGTTACAAAAGCATGCACGAGTTCACAATCATGTGCACAAGCATGTATACCTCTTTCCAGTTCCCTCCCCCTTTCTCCTCCCTCAGGAGTTCCTCTGAGCATGAACAGAAAGCTGTCTTGGGACTATTGTGGACTCTTGGCACCCTTCCCAGGAAAGGGGGGGGTGAGAAGCCAAGGGGTTTTCAGCATGTTCAGATATGTTTCAATCTCTTGTTCTGGCATGGTTTCCGGACAGAAAGTAAGTTGCAATGTGGTTCTTCAGCAAGGCCAGAAGACATGAGAAAGGCCTGAGAAACAATGGACTGTTCTCTACCTTTGTTACAGCAGAGCGGAATGTTTCTGATGCTTAGCTGCTGAGAAAATGATTTTGAAAAGTTTTGAGAAGCTTTGAGCCTGCTTTGGTGGGGGGTGACTTCGGGCCTAGGTGAGGTCACCTGTCCTCACCTTCCTTCACTCTAAGCTACTGAAGGGGTAATGGGGCCCTTTATATGTCCAGCTGTCCTTTGTCAACAACAAATTGTTGCTGTTTTTTGTGTTGAATATATGATATATGGTAATTTATGGACCTAATGGATATCTAAGGCCATTTGCGCATAACAAAATATGTATTTTATCAAAGTAATTTTTGAATTGAAATACAATTAAGAAATAGTATATTAACAGTGAAATACAATTAAGAACAAGTATATTAATAGTGAAATAATTATTAAGCTCTAACTTAAAAGGATTTTTCATAACCAACTTAATAATGCAAACACAGTGGCATTTGGCAATAGCAAAAGTTCCTTTAGAAACACTATTTACAAAGACTGATAATTTAGTCTCTAGAAACTTGCTATAACATGAAATAATAATAGGTGTAAATATATTATGAAAACTACTAATAATTATAAATAGCAGAATGTAGGCACCCTATAGTATATAGAAATGAGCAAACCAGTGATATTTTAAGGAGCAGGCTAGCAGACCATTACTTACATCATAGGAGCCTACATAGGAGCCTGAGCGATCCAAAAGAACAATTTTTAAAAGCCACCTGAGATTTACAGTGCCCGGTTTTATTTCGGGGAAGCAAGGCCACCTTCCCCAGCCTCCCCACCTCCAGGGCCCGCATTGTCGCCTAGAGAGTTCCAGGCGTAAAGCGCCTGGCGCGGTGCATGCTGGGAGAAGGCCGCGGCTTTACCTTAATAGCGCGGAAGCCCCTAACCTGACTTAAAACGGGTGCTCACGCGGGTTCTCCGTCTCCTAGCAACATTCCGCCGCGCTGAGCGGCCTCTCGCGAGCGCCTTGCGTCACATGACCCAAGGCGTCATATTCGCGCGCCACCTCCGTACGACAGTGACCCCCTCTCTTTTTTTTTGTTTCTTGTTTTAATCCGAATAATTCACTTCCGGTTTGGGCCTTGGACGGTTGGTGGGACCGTTAGTCGAGGGGGGAAGGGCGCGTGGGTTGTGAGCGCGAGTTCTCGCGGTGGCGGTTGTCATGGCAGCGGCTGCGGGGCCTGGAGGAGGCGAAGCGGCCTCGGCCTCCGCTGCCGACGAAGGCGGCGGCGGCGGCACGGACAGGGGGAGCCCCCCCGGCTCGGACCCACGACGCCTGGGGCCGGGGGGGCGAGAGGAAGAGGAGGCGCCGGGGCAAGGCAGCGCGGGGGGCCCGGCCAACCAGAGCCGCGCGCCCTCGTCGTCGCCGCCGCCCCGCGAAGCCGAGGTCACCGTGGAGATCGGGGAGACTTACCTGTGTCGGCGCGGGGACGGGACGTGGCGTAAGTACGTCTCCAGGACAACAGGAGCGGTTCCCTTATCTTCACCCCCCCCCAACCAAAAAAATCACCTCCTGCTCGTCCCCAGGACAGTGGTGGCTCCGTCCAGGTGCCGTTGGTCTCCCCGTCAGCCCCATCCAGCATGGCCAGTGGTCAGGGATGATGGGAGTTGTAGTCCAGCAGCATCTGGAGGGGGCCACAAGCTCCTCGCTTATGCTACATCACCGAGGCTTCCATGACCCTGCATTACTCCTTATGACAGCTGTTGTTTATTCAAAGCTTTTCTACTACCGGCATTGTTTAATTTTGATTGTTTTAAACGTTTCCAAGGGGGGAGGGAGCCTAATGAAACCCATGGCAAAGTAATATCGCACAGCAGCAAAATGGAACAAACTAGAATGTGTTGCTATAAAATGCTCAAAACGCTTCACCCAATCAAGCACAAACATGAGGTCACTACTAAAAGGTTCTGTTCCTGGTGGACATAGCCGTCACCTCAGAACAAGCAGCAGGATGTCAAAATGATGACCTGTGGCTGTGATCCTGTGCCCACTAACGTAAGAGTATACCTCATTAAATGCTATTGGACATCCCTTTGGGACGTACACAGGTTTAGCCAGTGCATACAGGATTCTAGTTCTTCCTGTGTTGTATCATCCCTTAAAGCAGCCTTTTCAGAGAGTACTGTAGAGATTTATGTGAAGACTTCTCTTTGCATACCTGCACTCCTGCAACATTGTGGCTCCCAAAATCAAAGGTATATAGGTTGGCTCCTCTTCTGGAGTGCCCAATCTGTATTTTCCCTCAGTGTTTTTGCCACATTTGGATCTGAAAGATTCTTATTGAAATATTTCTTATTGAAATATTTATTTCTTACTGAAATAAAAATGGACTAAGGCACTTTGGCATACTTCCATTTTGTGCCTATTACTTGGAAACTTTTACAATTCTGTGATATATTGAGCTCTATTGTCCAGTACAGAATAGTATATTTGGGCTACTCAAATGGGCTCTTGCTTTGACAAAGCATGCACACCTGCACCCTTGACCAACTATTACAGGTCCTTTCCGCTTTTGCAGCTTAGCTGGTTGTAAGGAGTTTGGCTGAGGTGTGTCAGAGTGAAACACTGTTATTAGATTCTTTTTTAGTCTTTCCTAATTTGAGATTAACCATATTGAGTGTTGACTTTCTTCCAGATTCTGCAGAAGTGATCCAGTCGCGGATCAATGAGCAAGAAGCCAGGGAGGAGTTTTATGTGCACTATGTTGGGTGTAAGTATCTTTTTGAGGTTCTCTATGTCTGCTGATGTGGTGAGGAGGAAGTGTGAGATGCCTTTATGGTCCAGAGGTAGCCCACATGATGTCCCCCAGATGTTGCTGGACTCCCATGCTGGCTGGGGTTGATGGGAGTTGTAGTCCAACGACATCTGGAGGACACAACACAGGCTACTCCTGGAATAAGAGTAGGTAATTCCTTCCAAACCCATTCCAGAGTCCCTGTTACGTTTTACACATGCAACAAGACTTCTCAAATGTTGAAACTTATACTGAAATTACATATTTTTCCAAGTATCTTACACTGAGCCAAAAAATTACCAGCAGCCTAGATGAATAGACAGATTTTTAAAAATACTTGTTTTGTGGAGGTTTCCTAAAAATAACATCATCATCATCATTATTATTAATTTGCCCAGGAAGGGAGTGAAGTATCAAATAAGGAGGTTAGCAGTTGCACTCCTGTGTTTTATGCCCTTTCTGCAAGAGAAAAAGACAGAAAATTTTCTTGAATTTACATCCACTGCTGTCCTGAATTCATTGCAACTAGTGTTAAATGCCATGTTCTTAGAGGTGATCTCTTCAGTCACCTGAACAGATAAAACACCTGAGGACTATTAGAGTGATACTGCTGTTAGTAGGAGGGAAAATGATCTCCAGTTGTTTAGATCAAGGAAGGATGGAATGGGAGATGTTTTAACCTTCAGCTGAATAACGTTTGAAGAAGCAGCTTCGAACTCTTTTTGTGATTGGTGGAAGATCCAAGACTGATACATATTTCTTCTCCTAATTGCAGTCAACCGGCGTCTGGATGAGTGGGTGGACAAAAACCGCCTGGCCCTCACCAAGACAGTAAAAGATGCGGTACAGAAGAACACGGATCAGTACATGAATGAACTGTCTGAACAGCCAGAGCGCAAGATCACTCGGAACCAGAAGCGCAAACATGATGAAATCAACCATGTGCAAAAGGTGATGCCAGAGGATACACGGCTGGGGAGATTGAACTGTACTCTACTACAGAGTGTCGGTTCCAAGGCTGGAAAAACCCAGGATGTCTGGTTGTACCTCTGGAGCTATTCCTAACATCAGTTTGGCACTAGGAGATAGCTTTTTTAGGAAGTCTTGTCCAATTAGGAATTGAACATTTGGCCACCTTGCTGTCTTTTTCCATTGCAGACGTATGCTGAGATGGATCCCACCACAGCAGCTTTGGAGAAGGAGCACGAAGCAGTGAGTATTCACTAGCACTTGACCTGTCTCGTTGCCAAAATTCAGTAGAGAAAAGAGCACAGCTGTGTTTCGTGGCTCCAGCTATATTTCTGTGTCCTCAGATCACCAAGGTGAAATACGTAGACAAAATCCATATTGGGAACTATGAGATTGACGCTTGGTATTTCTCGCCATTCCCAGAGGACTATGGGAAGCAGCCCAAGCTGTGGATCTGCGAGTACTGCCTCAAGTACATGAAATTTGAGAAGACTTACCGCTATCATCTGGTATGCAAAGGGAATGGGTGCTGTTGGGGGTGTGGGGATAGAGGTGTATGAGTAGACCTGCCTCCTTAGTTAATGTTTTTATTGATGGACCACCCTGAAGATATCAAGAGCTTCAGAATTAATTTATTTAAAGTATTTCTATGCTTTTCAGGTGGACTTCACAAAGCAGTTTAAATAAAAATAGTAAAACAATAAAGATCCATAACATTTGAATAATAAAAATTAAAAAGACATGGGTGAAGGAAACCCTTTTTTAAAAAGCCCGTTTCTGCTGCTTTTTTCTTCCATCCGTAGAAGATGGTTTGTCAGAAGCTGCTGCACTGGTAGTCGAGGAAGGGAGAGACCACAACGGGGAGCTGGATGTTGATAGCTTACCAAGCTGTTGGTTTTCCCCTCCCTTCAGAAGGATATTATTCAATTTCAATAATTCTAATACCTATTTATTCATGTGTTACAACTAGGAAAACTAAATGAGCAGTACCAATCTCAAATAAGAAAAGTAGAGGCTGTTGGCCTTACCAGAACCCAGACAATTGGGGAAATTGTTGAAGCTGTATTGAGCAGCCCAAGCAGTGGAAAAAATGCAGATTCATCTCTCTCTCTCTCTCTCTCTCTCTCTCTCTCTCTCTCTCTCTCTCTCGTTCAGGGACAGTGTCAGTGGCGGCAGCCGCCAGGGAAGGAGATCTACCGCAAAAATAACATTTCAGTGTATGAGGTGGATGGCAAAGATCACAAGGTAGGGGTCCGAGCTTTTGTTTTTGTTGTCTGCTACATCAGAAACCTGTTAGTTGCTATCCAACCTATCTTCCAAATAATTTCAGAGCCATGCCTCTACAAATATGAGCCTAATCTCTCCCAACGGGCTACGAATAGTCATTAACATGTAAGCTCCTTCCAGAACTCCTCTTACTGTATCTTTGTGATTGAGGCAGCTTTTCGTTTCTTGATTTGGGAAGACTTACATGGGCAAGGTTGGAGCGCTCGCATATAGAAAAGATTTCCTGAGATTTCCAGTAATGGGGCTTAGTGTCACTATCTATTCAGAAGGGAGTGATCCAATATAGAAACAGCTTTACCCAATCCTACTGGTCTCGTGAAATTGAGGGCCATCACTGCCTACGTGATGAATGGGAATTTTAGGTTGCTTACACAGTGCTCAGTGATATCCTAATTACAGGCAAGATAATAGCTGAGAGCAAAGAGCACCAATATTGTGAGAGAACATTCACCGCAAGGCCTGTGAGGTATGCCAGAGAACTTTTAACATGGAAATGGCCCAGAAGATCCACTTTCTCATGTAGAGCCCTGACTCTGACCCTTGGCTTGGTTCGTAGGCTTGAAAACATCTAAGAGTACAGACTTTTGCAAGTTCAGACATTGCAATATGTCCTCTTGATTTATTTTTTTTATGTGCATAACTTAATAAATTGGGGAGATTTGATCGCACTCTGTAACTTCATTGAGGATTTTCTTAGAACAAAGTTGCAGGTTGAAATGAAATAATGTTTTCCAGGAAGAGGAGGTATTTAAAGGTTTTGGGGGTATCCTCCATAGGGCACCTCTTTCCCTGGATTGGGAAATGAACTTACACTCACCGTGTTCTTCTTGCTGCTGTGCTCTATTTATTTACTGGTGTTTGCTTCTCTCCCCCAGATTTACTGCCAGAATTTGTGTCTCTTAGCCAAACTGTTCCTAGACCACAAGACTCTCTACTTTGATGTGGAGCCTTTTGTCTTCTACATTCTCACTGAGGTCGACAGGCAAGGGGCTCATATTGTCGGCTACTTCTCCAAGGTGCTGGCCTGGCCTAGGATGAGTGTTGGGAGAGGGTTCTAGCTGAACTTTAGAAGGGGTGTGAAAAGGAGGATCAGCAGTCATGATACTGCTGTTTTTAAAACTAGATTCTGAATCCAGTAAAACATGAAAATTCTCATATGTCTGTTTATTTTGTATTACTTATTTTGCTTCTGCCATGGATGAGAGGAGGGCGATTGTGTGCTGGAAATCATCCTCATCCTCCTTTTGAGTTCTGAGATATCACCAAAGTTATCTGTTTGCTAACAGACTCAAGATAGTTCACAGTATAATGCCTTACAGTTGAATAGATGTAATTCCAAAGAGACGATGGGTGGGGTGAAAGAGGAAAATGAGTGAACTCAAATACTATGGCCACTAGGGGCGGAAAGATGCTAAGTGACACTTGTTTTCCGCTAGCCCAATAGAATAGCTTTGCTGTATCACCTCTCTCACTAATGTAACCGGGTGAAATGGCTGCTGGTGAGAACAGATCTTGCTTTCAAAACAGTGAAAGCTGTGGTACTTAGGATGCATGAATCCTATGCCCAGTACAATATTCCCTGCTCCCTCATTTCACTTCTTTGTTTGATTTTCTGCCGCCAGGAGAAGGAGTCACCAGATGGCAACAATGTTGCCTGCATCCTCACCTTGCCCCCATACCAAAGAAGGGGCTATGGGAAGTTCCTCATTGCTTTCAGTAAGTTTGATTCTTTCAGTCATGTGCAATAACCACCAAAAGAAGTAGCTTCACAAACTCGCAATCTCTTCCAGTTGCTGGAAATGAGGATTAGTGCCTTCACTTAACCAGAACAGACTAGAAGTAACTTGTGCAACATGCGCCCTTGTATTCCACTTCAGTTAATCTGCTATAATTTGGCTTCCTCTGATTCTGTACTGTATCACCAGATGGAATAATGTTTTAAACCGTAATTGCTTTCAGAAAGTTATAACTGCCTTAGAATGTTTTTGTTTTTTGAATATATAATACTTAATAGTTAATCTGAATTAGAACTTAGAATTTCCACCCTTAAAATTGCACTAACTAAACGTGGGAAGGAATCTGCTCTTTTTAACATGTTGACACCTCTCACACTCTTGGTTAAGTTAAAGGGTTTTAGGGGTAACTGAGTATGTGCCCTAAGATCTTCTGGAGGGCTCAGTTGAGAGAGAGCCTTCTTTACTGGGTCTGAGCTTTACCTGGGGGGAGAGGCTGCAAAAGCATAGCTCTTGAGATGTCTGAATTCTGAGTTGTGACTGCTTCTTGACATTAATCCTAAAGCTCTTGTTCCTCAGGCTATGAGCTCTCCAAACTGGAAAGCACAGTGGGCTCCCCAGAGAAGCCCCTCTCAGATCTAGGCAAGTTGAGCTACCGTAGCTACTGGTCGTGGGTCTTGCTAGAGATCCTCCGGGACTTCCGAGGTACCCTCTCCATCAAAGACCTCAGGTGAGAAAGAATCCATCTTGCTAGTAAGATGTGCTGTTTTGAGTAACAGTGCCCTCTAATTCCTCATTGTTGCTGAGAAGCACATATGCTTCTGTGATATTCTATTATGAGCAGTCCTGAGTGGTTTTCATATGACCTCCCAGTTAAAATTGCCAGTCACTGACCTTGCCTTGTTTTTCACTCCCCTACCCATTGCTTTCCCCCCACTCCCCGGGGCAGTCAGATGACAAGCATCACACAAAATGACATCATCAGTACGCTGCAGTCTCTGAACATGGTCAAGTACTGGAAGGGGCAGCATGTCATCTGCGTCACACCCAAGCTGGTCGAGGAGCATCTCAAAAGTGCCCAGTACAAGAAGCCTCCCATCACAGGTACCATGGGAAGGGCAGTAGTTGTATCCTAGACCTGGCGGTTATTTACAGGAGTCTTTTAATCAAAAGCAAAGAATTGGCAGCCTAGTTCAAATCATTATGTGGCATATAAGACCTGCCCAAACCCCACCCTCTTGGGCTGCATCTTGGACCTTACTGTTGTCTTTTGAGTTGTCAGGTCACAATGGTAGAATTGCCCTCTCAGGGTTTTAGAGTCGCTAGAGCTTTTGATTCCTTGCACACAGGCTGCAGTCCTCCAAACATCCTGGTTTTGCTGACTTCCTTCCTAACAGTCTTGAACAGTCCCAGCTCTTTCTTTTTTTGCTCCTTTCTTCAGTTTCATGTTTCCCCCCTACACATTAAATTTATACAGCTGTTTTATCTTAATATATGAAGTGGGTGGGGGAGCTGCTACAAAGAGCACAGAAGTGTTTCTCCTTCCACCAGTGATGTGTAATTTTGGAGGCTTTCACTTCAGAACGTTGCCCTCTAACTTGTGGAGATGGCAACAGGGCAGAGCTAGAGCACTTGCTTCTGTCTCTCTCCCACATCTCTTCAAGTGTCAACATGAAGACAGAACTCCTGAAGAGGACCATTGTTTTCCCAGATTCCTGCTTTTCAGCCTCTCTTGCTTTGCCACATTTCTTTTAGTCTCTTGACCGCTCACCTGCCTCACCATAGCATATAGCTTCTCCTTTAGTACATTGAGATAATCAGAGATGGGCTTGGTGCATACTTCAATTTCCTTCCATTTTTCTTACACCTCATTCTTAATCTTGCCAAGTCTCACCTCATTTTAGTCTCCTTGTCTCTGAGTTCCTCGTCCTTTTTGGCTTCCCTGTGACTTGGAACCTCCTCCCAGTTTTTGCCCTGCGCTGTATGAGGTTTTATTGCCATTCAAACTGACAACCTCATTTTCTCTCAGAAGTTGGACTGAAAACTGCTTACATAAGGAGCTAAACATTCCATTCTTTGTCACTCCACCACCTCAGCCAGTCTCGTCAGCTGCTTCACTTTAACAAGCACAATACAATACATATGAGAGTAGCTTATATTGCATGTCTGTCTGTAAGATCACCATATAAGTATGCACATTTTGGGACAAAAGACAGCAAGAGAATATCAGCCCCCCCCCCAATCTTGTTTCAAGTCTTCAAAATATGTGGATGCTGTCTGTCTATTTCAGAAACCATAGAATGGAGATGTTTGTGACAAAGAATTAACGTGTTTCTACTTGTCCCTTTCAGTTAATACTGTATTCTTTCCTGTTACAACTGTGCTGGGAAATAGCATGTCTAATTCCAGTCCTTTCTGCTGTTATAACATTTGCAATAAGACATTCATATTCCTTGGAAGCTGAATCACCAGTGCAACTTAAATGCGGACAGGCTTAACTACTTTGCTTAATCAATTCTGAATGCAAACTTTATAGAGTATTTGTCTCCCCTCTCCCCATGTACAGTTCTCTACATTTAAATCTGTTCCCGGAATAATTGGGTAGTATCCAACTAAATAGATCCACTAGCGCAAGGGCTTCCCTCTCCCCATGCACCTTCCGTGCCCCCCTGATTCTGTACTGGGGATTCACCCTAACCCTCTGGAGCAGACATGGGGAAGAGTGGAGAGAAGAGAGGAGGGGAATATCCTTTGTGCAGCCAAATGCTAGTTGGATACCACCCATATCCTGCTTTTGCTTTGTTCATTCCGTCATGGAGTGTGCCAGGCATTGCTGAGTGCAAACACAGAACCACCTTGTCAGAGGTCAGGAAGTCAGAACCACTTTCAGTGGTTTCAGGTTTTGATCCCTGCTGAAAGAAGCATTGTTTGCCCCGGTGGGGCTGCTGACGTGCCAGTCAGTGCCAGTTATGTAAGAGGAGCTGCAGACAGAGTGCCAGTTTCTCCTTCTGAGCCTCTCTCTTTTTTTAAAGGAGCTGCTCGCTGTCAGTTGTTGCAGAGGAGCAATCTGCAGGGTGGGGCATGAAGGGTGATTATCAGCCACTTTCAAGATAAGCTGGAGTATCATTTGCTTCTCTGAAATGCAGTTGTTTCCAGGATGGGTAGAACAGCAAACAGGCTCTCATAGAAGCTAAAATGAATTTGTCTCAGTAATCAGTATTTGCCTTTGTTACAATCCCAAGGCATCATTTCATTCATATTGGCATTCTGCTGCTTGTTTTTCTGAAGAGCATTAAAAAACTCTACTGGAAACAGTAGCGTTTTGAACTGGGATAGCCTTTTTGAGAAGCTTGTGTCAGCATTCTTAGCTGGCTAAAAGGCAGCACTGCTGCTTGTCTACCTGTCTCAAGTGCCTGCTCCACACCTATTGACTTTGCTTTTCCCTCCCCTCCTTCCTCCCCCTCCAGTGGATTCCCTCTGTCTGCGATGGGCCCCTCCGAAACACAAGCAAGCCAAGATTTCCAAGAAGTGAAGGAGAAACTGATCTAAGCAACGGAAGCAGCTCGGCTTCAATACACATCCACCCTTCGTTTTAAGAGATTGTCTGAGGCATTCTTGTTGGTATTGTATTGATCAGACATGTCTTGGAACAGATGTTTTCAGGGTGGCAGGGAGAGAAGGGGTGTTAGCAGTGTGACGCCAACTTTACTGTGCTCCACTAGAGTGAAGACTTCCCACTTCCTCCCCCACCCTCATCTCACCTCCTGTCCCTTTCTGATTCTGCATGGCAAACTCCTTCCTTCTGGCGAAACCTGCTGTCTTGCTCTCGTAGGGTAGTAGAATTGGTGGCTTCTGTCTTAACCGGAAGAGGAAGGGGATACACACCTTCTCATCTCTTGCTTGTCACTGGCCCTGGAACCTTAGTTTCTGAGCTGCTCTAGCACAAAACCTTGGACTGCCTCTACTTCCATTGTCAGGCAGGTAGAGCAAAACAGGGGCAGTAAACACGCGTGAGGCAGTATTTGGGAAGCAGTCAGTCAGCAAAATTTCAGGTGGGGGGGATTTGCTTTTAGCTATGACCGTTTGGAAAAAGAAAACTTGATTGTAGTTGCAATTTAGTTTTCCACAGTCAAATTGCAATTTAGATCCATCACAGTCAAGAGTTTTGAGAGTGGCACGCCAAAGGGGGGCATTGTCAGAATTGTGCACAGAAGCGCTTCATGATCCCCTCAGCAGATGAGAGCACGACTGTGCAGAGTTGGGTTTGAGGCTGAATTTAAAAGCATGGATTTCCAAGAAACACAGCAGCTGAGAAGTCACTGTGCCACACCTGCCCCTGAGAATATCCCTGGCAGCTGTAGCGTAGTAGCTAACAGGGTATCTGTCCTTTTGGGTTGACCTAGTTGATTTTGACGTTCTGCGGAGACCCTACATCAAAAGGGATGGCTCTCAATGCAAATATGATGGGGTGGGGGCTGTTACTTGCCACGGGGTTGTTGTCTTAGCCCAGGGGAATGTACAACCTCCAAACTGGTGGAAACCGAACAGTGGGATATTGTGGGTTAGTTGGTTCTGACAAGTTGCCCTACCATTGTATGAGCTACCTTTGCCAGAAATAAAATGAGAAGGAATTTTCTCAGAAGAATCGACATTCTCTTGGACAAAGCGCAGTAGAAGTAATGGAACCGAAGAGGGAGGCTGCCGCTGTTCTTCACATCACCTTTCACCAATATGCTTGCACCCCTTCTACACTGGGACTAGTTCAAAAGGAAGTTGGTTTCAGTGGGGTGGGGCTGCATTTGATATTACGGGAGAAACTGTCCACATGATGGTTCTGCTACAGATATTATATTCATAATCCATGTATGCAGTGTGTTTTCTTTTACTTTTCAAAAATATTTTAATTAATAAAACAACAAAACAAAGTATCTTTCTATGCTGCGTGTGTAACGATGGAATTATGTTGAGCACAGGTTTGGGTGGGGGAAGAAAGTTCTGGGCAAGGTATGGAGGCTTTAGGCCATACTGGAAACATATATTCAGGATCCTGGAAATCTGCCACTGTCTGCTTTATTGCTGTACTACCTGTACTGTGAAGTAAGAGAGCCAAAGCAGGCCCCTGTTGAGTGCAAGTGTGTCGTCTGATATCCTGACTTGTTCGTGTATGTTTCTAGAATAAGGTAAAGGTAAAGGGACCCCTGACCATTAGGTCCAGTCGTGACCGACTCTGGGGTTGCGGCACTCATCTCGCTTTATTGGCCGAGGGAGCCGGCGTACAGCTTCCGGGTCATGTGGCCAGCATGACTAAGCTGCTTCTGGCTAAACCAGAGCAGCGCACGGAAACATCGTTCACCTTCCCGCCGGAGTGGTACCTATTTATCTACTTGCACTTTGACGTGCTCTCGAACGGCTAGGTTGGCAGGAGCAGGGACCATCAACGGGAGCTCACCCCGTCACGGGGATTCGAACCGCCAACCTTCTGATCAACAAGTCCTAGGCTCTGTGGTTTAACCCACAGCGCCACCCGCGTCCCCTATGTTTCTAGAAAAGAAACACACAAAAACACACCATGAAGTGAGTGACTGCTTTAGAAAGTGAAGCAGGAATTCCTCTGACAGCCTTCCTTGATCTGTAACTCAAAAGAGGCAATTCACCTTGATGCAGCTTCTGTTGTAGCATGGTGTAAGCTGTACCAGGTGAAATTCTGAATTTGGGCTAAGTTCTAAACCTGTAGGGTTCAAGGGAGTGATAATTCAACAGCAGCTGGAATGCTTAAAAATACAGCTTCACTTCTTAAAATGCCACTGAACATTTGCAGAATACCTTCTATATGCCAGATTTCTTTCTAGCCAATTTATTTTGTGGACTTGCTTCTTATTCAGCATTATTCACAGGATTTAAACAGGGTAAATTATATCAGGATTACCATTTAGGCTGAAATCCTAAACCCACTTACTTGGTAAGTGCCATTGAACCCAGTAGCATTTACTTATGAGTAGACATGGTTAGGCATGTGTTTTTTGTAGCATAAGCACATTCTAGTCTATATAAAGTAGTGGCACAATAAATGTGTTGTTAATCGTTAGAATCATGTTTTTGTCTTATCATAATTAGTGTAGTGTTATTGCAAAGGAGTGCAGCCTTATGATTTAATTCCGTGAAAGAACCAACAGCTTACTTTATGGTGTCTCTAATTATTTTACAGGAATGGCTTAGTGGTGGCTACTAATGCAATCCTCTGCATTTTTATTGAGCTGTAAGTGTGTTCTGCGCAACTTGCTGTCATGTTTATTTAGGTGCTATTTTTTTTTTTTTACAGTTGCCGTTCTTAGGTGTCCACAGTATCTTTGCCAGGTGGATAAGGTGGAAATCAGGCTTTAGCCTTTCCTGTGAACTTGGCTGCCATGCCACTGGGCCAGCTGTAACAGAATGCATGGCTTATGGAGGGCATTCTGTCTGTCACCTTAGTGACTATCTTGCTGGGACTCTGGTTAGTTCACTTTCAGTTCCAGTAGAAAATGGAGCAACTCCCATAAGCCTGTGAACCTGGTCTTATCATTATGCAGCCACTTCCAAAGGAATTTCCCCCCACCTCTGTACACAGGTATTTCAAGTGTTGCAAGCAGCCCCTTAACATGCGGAATTTGTCTCTGGATTCAGTCGGCGCTCAGGACAGTGGTGGAAGTTAACACAACTACTACCGTCACTTTAGAATTACTATTTGCTTTATTAAAAACCCTTCATTGTGAGAGCAACATCTGATTCTCATCCTTCCCAAAGAAACAAATAGATGCTTACATACTTATTTTAAAAAGATGTGCAAATACAGGTTGTCAGGGAAGACCAATAATATGTCTATGATTCGGCAGCAGCAAACTTACGTAAAGCAGTCCCATTCCATTTCTGCCTCACATGCAAGTCATGCTGCATCATAAATAAATCTTCAAGCTAAGGCAGGACATTTCATTTAGCAGTAATGTTGCCCTGATTATGTTTCCCGCAACTTTTTATCACACACACACACGCATACACATATATATATATATATACACACACATACATACATACATACATACATACATACATAGACATGCACACACTCCACCAATGGAGAGATTTATTGATCACACACAGAAACCTAAGTGAGGTTACCATTCAAAGAATCCAAGCCAGTCAAGGGAAGTTGCAGTCCGGTCAGCACACAAAGATGACCAAGTCCTCAGCCAGGGGTCAAAATGTGGCAGCTAATTAAGAAACATGGTTCGGTCCCGTCACTCCATCTTTTCAGTCTGAGCTTCAAGGAGGCATCGGGAAAACATGTTGTCTTAGTTGCCCCCAAACACACATGTCAAGGGCCATAAGAATCCAGGAAGCAAAAAGCAGATTGGGTGCCATGGAACCACCTGGAGCGTCACAGATCCCCTAGAGACTGATGCTGCTTCCACAGACACATCGCTGAGTGTCACTTCTTTAACACTGGTCTTGATCCAATCACGGTGGACTACTGAGGCTTTAACACAAAGGCTGTGTCGGCTGGGCTCCCTAGATGACACTCCACACTACCTCCAGCCAGCAGGCACCATAGAAGGGGGTGTTTGAGGGTATAGTTTATACCCAACTCCATGAGGTATCGGAATCAGTGGGATATCGGACAATGGTTTGAACTGGACCCTAAGAAACAGGTGTAGGGTTCAGCTAACTGATTTGGCTTAGAGGGAGCCAACTCACATTCTAGGATGAGACCAGGCAGCAAAACCACTGGTGTGCCAGTAGAATCTGTGTGGAGCTTCTCAGGACTGAAGCTGCAATGGTTAGCAGGAGCAAAGACCCCAAAAAGAACCACGAAGGCACCCTGTTATAGACTGGAAAGGGTGGAGGGAAGCTGAGGGGCGATAACCAGAAGGCAGATCGAGATAAATGGATTTGGGTGAAGAATACATTGGTAACAATGGTGAAATCCAGGATTAGTGAGAACCAAGACCCAGAGGGCAGATCAGGACCTGGCATGATGAGGAGACAAAGACAACTTAATGTGAGTCTGCCCTCAACAAAGAGGCAAGGAGGTGGTTGCCATTCATGGCTTCTGTAATTGTGCTGAGGCAGGGCAAGTTCTCCAGCAGCAGGCCCAGGGGATTGTCATAAATTAACATGTCAAAGGGAACAAAAGGGAAGGAGGAAACAGCAAGTTGGAATGTAAGGTATATATACTAAGCAGACCTCGAGTGCACATTGGACTGAACCTTCGTGGCTTGGCAGAACCCTCTGCTCCAGAACAAGGCTGCTGTTTTGTAATCGTACCAAGAACATCACATGCTTCCAGACAGCAAAGCGAAAAAACCTGAGGCATGGCAGAATGTGAAATAGTGGGACCACCCACTTGAGCACAGAGTAGGAAGGGACTGCTCTCCCCCCGCTACACAATCAGTCATTTGGCCCACTTGAGGGACGATTCATAAGAAATAGTGGAAGGTCTGAAGGAAGAGGACAAGAAGAGGCAGGCTGGACATGCAGGCCCAGGACACAGCGCTGCCCGAGGCAGGGTTTGTCGGCTTGATGGGACGGGACCAGCCTGGCTGAGGCTGGATGTCATCGTAAGGTCCAGGCCGGCTAGGGTCAGGAGTGTCAGAGCACATGCCCTCCTCCGAGATGGGCTGCACGTCGGAGGTCACTTGGCTGAGCTGCACCTCTGGAACATTTGCCTGAATCCAGTCGGCATAGGTTGAGATGCGGCTGTAGATACCAGGCCTGTTGGGGGCTCCACATTCGTCCCCCCAACTCACCACTCCGGCCAGCAGCCAAGCATTGCCAATACGGCAGGAAAGGGGTCCTCCAGAGTCACCCTAGGAGGGAAAATGGTTATTGGATTGGGAATAATAATAATAATTTATATGCCTCCCATCTGACCGCATTGTCCCAGCCACTCTGGTTTCCAACTAATTATAAAACCACTGTAAAACAGAACACATTTAAAACTTCCTTATACAGGGATGCCTTCAGATGTCTTTTAAAAGTCATATAGTTGTTTATTTCCTTGACATCTGACAGGAGGGCGTTCCACAGTGCAGGTGCAACTACCGAGAAGGCCCTCTGTTTCCCTGTAACCTCACTTTTCTCAATGAGGGAAACGCCAGAAGGCTGACTGTAAGCATCTGGACTTGAGAGTACTCTTCCACAGGCAGCTATTTTGAAGGATCCAAGTGAGTTAAGGGGGTCGGCATTACTCAAAGTATACCCCCAAGAACTATTCAACGTGGTCCCCACCTACATTGCGATGGAGGATCCCTAGCCCATCAGCCAAGCGTAGCCTGCCAGGGCTTCCAGCTAAGCCCACAAGGCAGTTTTTCCAGAACCACCCTGGAATCACGTGTCAATCAGGTGACATCAGCTGACAGGTGGGAGTTTGGTCCTGCTTAGCTCAGTCGGGTGAGCAAGTTTCCTGTCAGGAACTCATTGGCACAGTTGATCCCTGCAGAAATCAGGATCAAACACTCCCGCCCATCCACTGAAGGGCAAGGAGTTCAATCCTGCTTTATGACTATCTCCTCCCCTACCCTGCTAGCCAACTTCGATAAAATCTCAGGTGGCTGACAGGTGGGAGAGTGATTTTGCTCACCTAGCAAATTTGGCCAGCCAGAGCAGTCAGGGAGGGAGAAAAAAGATCTGGCTCACTGGGCCAAAAAAGGACTCTATACCCTGTTCTATGTGGAATAAAGATGACTCAGGGCAGGACTGGCAAGAACTGCCTCCAGCCTGTCACATGATCACTTATAGACACAAGTATAGTGAATTGCCTGAGAAGGGCTACAAAGTGCCTCATAACCAAGGGGGGAAAGGGGGCACAGTGCATATTTATACCTTAAGAGGGGGTTCTAATCCATGAGTTGCTACAGCACTTTCTTTCCAGACGTCTATGCAACATATAAACAGATGCTGGCTGAAGCTGAACACGAAAAGGCCATCAGCCTTGGCCGTTTGTACAGTGCCGAATCTGGCTCTCACTGCCTCATTCTAAAATGCCACCCCCTTTCCTCAACGAACGGGCACCCCCAGCCTCCCCTCTCCTCCTGCCTGATCTCACCTGGCAGGCATCTTTCATCCCCTCAGCAAAGCCAGCACAGATCATGTCGTCGTGGACGGTGAGGGGATCCTCGGGGTCAGGGTTTCGCCTGTACAGGCACTTGCAAGTGTCTAGCCCAATAATGGGCACTTCAAGCTGCTGTAGCGTCTTGGGTGTGGGGAGGCTTGCTAAAGGAAGAAACAAAACTCAGAGTCAGTTCCCAGATGTGGAGAAAGGCTGTCCTGCAGTGGGGACTGGTAGGGCAGGAGGCCAACAGTAGGTGCAGCCAGCACCAATGGCGGGCAAAGGCGACTCAATCTAATTTTGTCCCTATCTTCCTCTCTGCCAAGTTCTACGAGGAGCAACACAGAGTCCAAGGAGGAGGAGGATGCTGAAAGGTGGTGCCACTCCTGGGCTGATTGGAAGCAAGGCTGCAGAGCAAGTGGGGGCAGCTAAGGGCAGGCTGAGGTTGGTGGGGCAGCTCCCCATTCACTCTAATGGACCAGCCTCTTTTTGTGTCCCAGGTGGCTGGGTGTTTGCCATTGGGTTGGGAGTGCAGGTGGATAAGTGCCTCATCATTCTGGAAGCCAGACTCCCTAATCTGCAGCTACGGACTCCTTTCCTACAGCTGAGGCTATGTCTGCATCAAGATATGGACAAGAAACAAAGGCACTCATCTCATATGCAGAGGCAACCATTGTCTCTTCACATGCCCCAGGCCTAAGCCTCCATGCTGAGATATGAAGGGAGGCCTTTTTGGGTGGAGGGGATGGAGGAGAGAGATGGGGACTGAGCCCTGACTGCACAAGGGAAATATGGCATTACAGAGGATTAGCTGTGCCCCCCCCCATTCCAGATGTGGTCGCATCATAGCGCTACAACAAGTTCCATCACTCTAAGGACCATGACTCCAATAGGAAAACAATTTCTTCCTTACTGGATACAAGCACGTTCCCCCAGCCGGTGACGGTACACTTCATGCCAGCCGGGAAGACGACAGAAGAGGCGGGCAGGCAGATGGGCCGGATTGTTCGGCTGTAGTTCACTGCCTTCTTGAGCTTCACCAGGGCAATGTCCCCTTTCGAGCCTTCTTCTTCCACGTAGTCAGGGTGCTTAATCACTTGCTCCACCTGCATAACTTGCAGGTCGTTTGGGGGGTCATTCAGCCGATGGACCCCCAGGACGACATCGTAGTCTTCAATTTCAGCCCTCCTGCAAAAAGGAGAGGAAGCAATATTGTATTAAAATTCATTTCTAAGATGCAAAAGGAGGTCATTGATAAGGGTCTAAGAGTACCTGTACTAGGGATCACATATCCAATGGTAGCCAGACTGGTGTCTTTAGCACATGGGGAGGGAGAGAAAGCAACAGTCTTCCATTTAATTCTGCCCCAGAAACTAGTATTTAGAGGTGAACTTTTCTTAATGTGGAGATTTCATTTAACCTGCATGGAGAGCAGTCATGGATTGACCTTGTTTATGACATTTGTATTCTGCCCCATAAAGTTATCTGGGAGGCTTATGATAAATAAGAAAACCATTTTGATACAAATAAGCCATGAAACCATAAATTCAAAAAGATAAATATGTGAAAAACAAAATTCATCACACACAGCCCAAATAAAGGCAATATATTAAAAAAAAAAAATTGAGGGACCCAGATTGCAAGAATTATTTAGAAAATATTCTGAAACTAAAAATACCACAAATATAGCACCAAGCAAGCTTTACTGGGAAGCCTGCTCCATTGGCCAGGGAGCCACTACTGAAAAGGCCCTCTCCCTAGTGGTTGTAAGGGCCATTCTACATGAATGTGTCTCCCCATTTTTCAGAAGCGATCTAGGAAGGGCTGTCCACGTTAGAGATACAGAACCATAAGAGGGAAAGCAGAGACCTCGGAGTTGTTTGTTAATGAATTAGCACTAGGCAGACACACAGGGGATACTTTTGTCTTTCCTGGACCTATAAGTACTGATTAAAATCTAACATAGCATAGCTCCTATGAGACTAAGTGATGAGTTATGAAGTGGGGAGGATGAGGTCTCCATTGCAAATCTCGTCTCTGCCATAGGTGGTGTTGGAAAAACCATTCTCTCTCAACCCTCACTATCTGAAATATAGATATATAACAGAACAGGCCCACCTTTCAGGGTCTTTTCAAATTTCACATACCGGTTCGTTATCTTCTGGCAATGCTTTGAACACTCGGAAGCACCATGCAAATGCTAAAGCCAACATTTTTAGCATCCTCATCAGTAAACCAAGCTCTCGAATTACGAGAAGGCTGCAGGATAGTGTCTGCATGCCTCACCAGCTTTCTATTATTTAAACCAGGCATAGGCAAACTCGGCCCTCCAGATGTTTTGGGACTACAATTCCCATCATCCTTGACCACTGGTCCTGTTGGCTAGGGATGATGGGAGTTGTAGTCCCATAACATCTGCAGGGCCAAGTTTGCCTATGCCTGATTTAAACTTCCTATCCAAAAGGCATTGCCTGCTCTCTTCCCCAACACCCACAACGGCATCTTATTCCACGGATGCCTTGCACTTACGCAGGTAAGCAATGTGCCGCTGTGACTAGCCACTGGGGGGCAATGAGAGATGCTCCGCAGAGGTGACGGCCGCTGCTGCTGCTGGTCAGGGATACCTGCCAGGGCCACTGTCCATGCTCGGCGTTCATGCCACCCATGATTCGCCCCATAGCGGGCACTCCACAGAATCCTGCAGACATAAAGACATTTTGCAGAGTGAAAAGGCGTTCCAGAAATCACTCACATCACATGTTCTTTTGTACACGACGATCAGACAACATGATGGGCTCTGCATCATATTATGTTTCTCCTTCTGTGTGGGGAAGGGTCATGGCTCACCGGAATGGCATCTGCCTTGCATGTGGAAGTTCCCAAGTTCAATCCCCAGTGTCTCCAGGTAGGGCCTGGGAAAGCTTTTGCCCAAAATCCCAGGCAGCCATCAGGACTCATTGTAAACAATACTGAGCTAAACTGACCAAAGGTATGATTTGGTATAAGGCAGCTTCCTAAGTTATTCGTTCATATAATTTATATACTGCTTGACTGTAAGAAGAACCCTGAAAGTGGTTCCTATATGTTTCCGGTGATCCAACCATTCAATAAGAGGTAGAAAAGGCATTCTGAAATCTCTCAAAACTGTATTTTTAAATATGGAAGCCTGTATTTGTAGACCTTATATGGCTGCAGAGATGGGACTGAATGTGTATGCACAATGCCTACTGAAATCTCAGAGGCCACAGAGCTGACCGAAGAAGATTCCTACTGTGTTGAAGGCAGGGTTTTAAGTGTCTGTAAAAAAGTTGCTTTCTAGACTCTAGGAAGCGAATTTGGAACCTAAATAATAATTGGTGTGAGCAGAGGAGGGAGAGTTAAATTAGTATGTGAGAAAACAGGGAAGGTAATCAATGGATGTCCATTGTTGACATACTTAGTGGTGTGCAGTGTTGTTCTTTTTAAAAAATAAAATTAAAATTCACACCCATTCATGCAAAATTCAGATATCTTACCTTGTTGGGTGCTGTTGGCTCCAATGGCTGCAGAGTGGGAGCATGAGAAGAATACTGTGAAATTAAAAAAGAAGTAGAGTTATAACGACAAATTGCAACATTTTGATTACAATAGAACAAATAGCACTTAAATATTTTCACATTTAATAACAAAACAAAAAACAAATTACTTGAAAACTCTTTCCAACTATGACCTAGTCTGCACTTCAACACTAAGACGATCCTTAGCCTTAATGCAATGAACAAACATGCTGCTTCCTGGAAAAGGATCATAGCTGCTGTGCTCCTTCTCTGCACCTCTTGTTGCTGTGTTGCTCTGGCTCGTGGTCTCTCTTGCTCCAGCAAAGGGTGAGCTATAACCAAGGTTTGTTCTAGGGTTTACAGCTTATGGGTTTGGACATGCTAAACTAAAGTTTAATTCAAAGAAGTGCAACAGCGGAACCACCAGAGGACAAGGAGAGAAGCTGCTGTCATCCCCTCTCCAGGAGCCTGCATGTTGGCTTATTTGCCTTAAGCCATGGTTTAGCTTAGCACTACATATGAACCAACATTTGTCTGATCAAGATCCCACTTTTATGTTTCTGTTTCCGAGTACTGTAATGTCTTTAAGAGTCACCAGGCCTCACTTTGTCTCAAGTAATCAAACACAAGAATCCTGTCCTCCACATTGATCTGTTACAATTCATTAAAACCCTTCCCCATCCTAGAGTTGCTGGAATATTTCTTAGAATTTTGGAGAAATCAAGCGGAGTGCTTGTTCCAATTGTATTATTTCAGGCTCCAGAGTGAATGATGAGAGACAGATTGCTCCCTCAAGGAGAAAGAAAAATTCTGCACACAGGACAAGGCTAAGTGGCATTCTGACTTGAAACCAGAATTGCAGCAAAAAGTGATGCAGCCTAAGAAAAGCTCTACCAAAATACCACTTGATTCTGCCAATCGTATAGACTGGCGCTTCAATCCCAGGTCAGAAAGGTCAGACAGTAAGGCAGGTGTGTGCAAATGAGCAGCAGTCAGAAATTACACAGGAATAACCTTCCCTCGCTGCTGCACCTCCAGACCAGGAAGCTGCACCTACAGAATTTTTCCTCTGTTGCAATAGGCACAGCTTGCCACCCGGGGAAAAGAAAAAGAGGTGGCTGCAAAAGTCATAGTTTCTGAGCACACCAGGCCCCATGCATGTTTCATTTTGGAAATTACACACCAGGGGACGTTGTCATGCTGACGAAGAGAGAAAGGTGATTTCTCCCAGGCCTTTCTGACGTTTCCTCCTTAGGCTGTACTTTCTACAACCTATGAGAAGGAAGCCAGGGTGTGCCTCTCTGCTCCTGCTGCCCCAGTTTCTCTTGCCACAGCTGTGGCTTCCCAAGGATTTGTTTCCCGCCCTGCTTGTCGGCCTAGATTGGCTTTCTAAAATCCTGCAGTGCCAATGATTCCTGGGAGATGAGTCTGAGCGGACTTGGCAGAGCATCCAGCCAGCGAGTCACTGGGGACACGGAGAGGGAGAAGAGGGGAACCTGAATAGGCAAATGAGAATAAAGAAGTTCATATTTAGCCCCTCTACAAGGCTCGAATTGTCAAGGCTTGTGTTTCCACACATTTTTGTTTTTCTAATGTCAGGCACTTTGTGCTTATGAAAAAATATATATTATGGACAGCATTGGCCATTTCATTTCCTGACTTTTTTGTTAAAGCAAAATTGGGTGTCTGAGCAAACTCCCACTGCTGATCCTGGAGGCAATATATAGCTATCTTGGCTAGTAGCCATTGACAGTCTTATCCATTTGTCTATTCCCCTCTTGTCTCCATCGAAGCTGATGACCACCTTGTGGCATTCCAGGGAAGGTCTTCCTTTTGGCTTCTAAGCATTGCAAACTTTCAACCAGCTGAATCTCTGCCTTTCACAACAGGTCAGTATGCAGACAGGAATGGGAAATTAGTATTTCCATGCTGTCCAAAACTTCCTCTGCCTGCTTCTGCACCCTGAGCTGCAGTTAAGAGTAAGGATGGGGAACCCGTGCCTCCAGATGTTGTTGATACTCCCATCAGTCCCAGTCAACATAGCTAATGGTCAGGGATGGGAGTCATGGCCCTCCAGATGTTGGTGCCCTATAGGTTCCCTATCCCCATCTTAAAGACACAAGAGCAGGCCAGGGGGTTTCTTTCTGGTTCTCTGGATGATCAAACACTGGGCGAGCAGATATCTAAAACGCAACTCAGAGCAGTATGGTTTTGTCACAACTAATCTGAAAACTGAAATGGCTCTTTGAGGAATGAAGAGGATCTTAGCCATTAAACCCCAGTGGCCTGTTTGTTGACCTCCTCTTTCATAATTAAAATATGACTTGGTGCCAAAGTTTACATGCTGTTGCCACAGCAAGTCCCTTGAGGTCCTACTAAGTCTGCATCATAAGTTTCCAACTTAGAAGGGGCCAACGCTCTAGGGGCTGCTGGTTCTAATCTGGAAAGGGCATCTTCTGATCAAGTTGGTAAGAGTTTTGCACAATTTACTTATTTTTGAACCACAAAGGGGCTTACGGAATTAAAACAACAATTGAAATAGGAAGTATGCAGAATTATCAGAAGCAGAAATCAATCAGAAGGAGCAGCAGATAAAGCCATATCCAATGCAACATTAAACAAATACAAGTGTGGTATAAAAGGCAGGCTGAAACAAAGCAAGTCTTCAATAAACCCTAAAAGAAAAAGGACCAGCAAAAATTCACAGGGAGAGAGTTTTGCAGCACCACTACTGAAAAGGCCCCGTCATGGGAACTCTGATACAAGTAGACAAAGAATGCCTAAGCCACATTTGATGCCCAAAGCATTTTTCTCTCTCCTTAACAGACATGTGCGGTTGGCCTCATCTTGTATCTTCCAGCTACGTAATGCGGAACACGAGAATTAGCAGGTTTTGAACTGGGCTCTCAAGCATGAAAATCCTCTTGCAAGAGGCCCAGTTGTGTTCTGTTGGTACTTTTGAGCCACCAACTCTGACCATTCCATGACAGTGCTTTTAAGTGAAAACAGATAGCAACCCTCTAGGGGGCGCTACATTCAGCATGCACCTAGTCTCCATTGGCCCTCAAAATATCCTAGGTTTGGGCCAGATTTTTGTGATCTTACTCAGCTGAACTATCAAAACAACAACAGCAGAGACCTCCACCCACAAACCGACACCAAGAAAGGCCCCACAAAACAAGCTGATTCCAGGCATCCTGGCCAGTCCTCATACACACACTGCTTGCTATTTTGGCTCCGCCATCAAGAGGTTGCGGTGAGATGAGCAAGTAGGACATTTAAAAATAGAGGCAGGCCCAACTGGTTGGGTAACCTACCAATGACGTCCGAGCCTGCCCCACCCTCAGAGACAAAATGTCACAGAAAGAAACCAGCCTGAACTATCCTTGCCCTCTTGCTCTACCCCACCTCCTGGGGCTCAGCCATATCAGGGCACACCTGCAGGACACCAGGCACTTGAAGGTGCCCTTCTCAATTCATCCCCGGGGCAAATTTGTGCCATTCAGTAGAGTTCCCATCAATACACTTCCAACATGTCACATTTTGACCTGGAAAGTTCCAGTTTGACTTGTTCTCTTTGGGGGTGGGGGAGCAACTGCAGAATAAAAATTAGGGTAGAATGCCTTTTCTTGCCTTTACACCTTTCACAGCTACATGACAGACAGAATTTCAACAGGTGAAGCTTTACAGGAAATGGAGTTGCAGTAACAAGGAAAGAGGCCCCACAGTAAAAAATTCTGGAACGTGGACGATGTTTACAGGCAATGCCATAAGGGATGTATTAACAGAGATTTGCTGAAGAACAAAAAAGCTTTAGGGGGGAAACCCGCAGAGAGGGCAATTCCCCAAAACAGCTCAGTGAAGACCAAATGAGTTCATTGGCAACAGCCCAAGCATCTGTTGAGAGGGGAACAGGGAACCTAGGCAAGGGAATGGGGTATCCTAGGAAAAAGACATGACTGACTAGTATCCTGAACAGCAGCATTACAGCTATTTATTGCAGGTTGTACAGTAAACTTGAACTAACATGATTCTGTCCTGCATGCTTTGCCAGTTTCACTGTGAATACTGAAGCAAGTTTCTAAGAAGAGAGGTGCCAGGAGGAGGTGATACCACTCTACGATCCCAGGGATAGAACCTGGCCATAATTCTTTAGTGGTAAGAAAGAAGTACTCTGCACATGCTCAGAGGTGGCCTTATCATGTTCTAGGGAATGGAGCATTGCTGCTGAATTCAAGTGTCAGAATGCCACCTTAATAAGCCTTGGTCAAATAAGAAATTCCAGACGAGAGACCCTGACTCTTGTTCCTTTATTACACTTGGAAACAGAGTCACTCTTGCCAGAGGCTGAGGTCAGCACTGGACCCACACCCCAATGAACAATTTGCACAGATCATATTCTCTCCCTCTCTTACACGCACACACATACACCCTGAACTCCACTGTTCTCAACTGCTTGCCTTCCAGCCACTTTTCCCAAGGGTGTCAGGTTACAAAGAGTTTCGGGGTTGTCGGATAGATAACGGAAGTTTCACAAGTGGGTTGCGCTGTTTGAAAAAGAGTGTTGACGGAGCAGCAACAAAAAAGGCTTTATGCCCTTTGGCTCCTAGGCCAGATTTGTCCACCAGCTCACTAGACCCCACTGTGTTCCCAAGCCTCTGAGAAAGGACTCAGCCCTAAAGTCTTATTCTTTGACAAAGGAACAACTAACACCAGTTCTCACTTATCTTGGAGAAGACAATAGGGTGTTTCAGATTAGAGTGTATGCCATCCATGGAGCACCATCTGTAGATAACTTTTCTATATCGAGTTGCAACCTTTTCCTCCCTGGCAGAACTCCTGTGCTTTTAACAGCTGCATGGCAGGAAGAAATTCAGCAGGTGCAGTCCTTTCCGGTATGAAGTTGCAGCACGAATTATGAACAATTCACTTATGTGGTTTCTCCTGTTTTCCATTAAAGTCACAGGAGCTCCAACAGAGAAAGGAGAAAAAACCCACCATGGCAAAGTTCCCTCCCTCCTCCTTTACTTGGGACAAGTTCCAAGGAAGATACTTCTCTTCTTCCCCTTCCCTTTCTGTGTGTGTTTTCCCAAGACTGAAAGGACCTTTGTCCTCTAGGAATGTGGCACCTATTCCACCCCCAGCCATGCATACACTGCTTTCAAGAAGGAAGGAAGGAAAGGCTGGGGTGTGTTTGTTTCAATTCTGCACTTTAAAAAGCCATCAGACCCCCAGTCACTGTGCGCGCATGCACACACACACACACACACACCCCTACCTCCCCTCCACACATAAACAGAACCTGCTCCCCAACCACCAACTTAAACGTGCCACGCTGGCTTGTCATATGTTCCATTATTTTCGAGGATTCCTTTTAACAGTTGTCATGGTTTCCCTCCTTACAATTTAACAGTGCAATAAAACTCATCTAGGGGACATAATGGATCATCATGCGTGCTGATAAATTTTGGGGCGTGTTTGTTTTTTTAAACAATATGGCACTGCTCTGGAGTTCAGTTTTAAGCTCTACATATGTCACGCGGTGATGAATTTATTAAAAATGGTGCGAAGCCACAAGCCCTGACAAGAATGCCGTTGAGCATGTCCAGAATACCTTTTTTTGTATACAACAGCTACACTCAGCCTCTTCAGATCCTAGGTACGAGGTGGCCAATGCTAAAACAACAGAGCTTCCAAACCAGTACGAGTCCCCACACCTTCCTTTTGAGATTGGCATATATAGCCACGGGTTACTATTGAGGAAGAATGAATCACTCCACAGATACCATGACAAAACGCCATGTTATCCTACCGCCACCCCAATACATAACACAGGATGGCTCAGCTTGGGGGTTGCCTCAATGTCCTCTGACCAAGTCACACAGGCTAGGCTATTGCTCCAAGCAAGCAGGTGGCGGGGAGTCTCAAAAGCCACCCCAGTGAGGACTTGAAACTTGGCCCCCATTGCATAGCACCTTCGCCACGCACACTTTCAGACAGCCCAACAGTTGGAAAAGGCCAGTTTGCAGCTCTTCCCCCTCGTGCTTGCCAAACCGGCCACGGCTCTGAAAATGGGAGTGCAAGAGATGGGAAACGACCGGCAGGCGAAAGGGCTGGGCGCGGGTGGCGGGAACGCAGCGCCCAACCCGCACCCCGGTGCTGGGAAAGGAGGAGGGAGGGAGGCAGGCTAAATCTCCGGAGAGAGAGCCGCTTCTTTTTGCCCGGTACTCACCAGAGACGAAGAGCAGGAGGCCCAGGCCTCCCAGCAAACTCCCCATTTCCTTTGGTCCCCGGTGCGTCGCTGAGACCCGCAGCTGAAGTCAGGCGCGCAGGTGTGCGTGTGTGTGCGCAAGGGAGCGAGAGCGCGCCAGGTGAGCTCCTCCAGGTAGTCCCGCCGGCAGGTGGAATGAAGGAGGGAGGCTGCGCTCGGGACTCTGCCTTCCTCGGCTGATGGACAAGTTACCCAACCTGTTGGTGACGGGACGGGTTCCCAGCCAGAGCCAGTCAGCTGCCTCTCCTGTGGCTCCTTTGCATGTTTTTACCTTGCTCACCTGCCTGCCCAGGCTCGGCTGCTTCGCCCCGCCTCCTCCTCTGAACTTGGTGACTTTTTCCAGGCCCGCCACGCCCTTGTTGTCTTGAGGGTGGGCAGGGGGACTACAGCTCCCATCATTCCTAGCCAGTGGGGCCAGGGACCAGGGATGATGGGAATTGTGGTTCAAGGAGGACCTTAGGTCTTCAAACAAAAACATCTTGGAGGTCCTGGGCCACAGAGAGGTTAGGGAGGCCTCAACCAGAGCCAGGGCTTTTTCGGCTGTAGCTCCAATCTGGTGGAACGCTCTGTCACAAGAAACTAGGGCCCTGCGGGACTTGACATCTTTCCACAGGGCCTGCAAGACAGAGCTGTTCCACCAGGCCTTTGGCCAAGGCACAGCCTGACCCCCTCCTTTGGCAATCCTCACAGACCTCTAGCCCAATGGTTGCCATTAATCTGATTTGAACTGATTTTATAATGAAATGATTTTAGAATGTTGTATCATTTTACTGTTGTTAGCTGCTCTGAGCCCGGCTTCGGCTGGGGAGGGCGGGATATAAATAAAATTATATTATTATTATTATTAAGGGCATCTGGGCAGCCAAGTACGAGTGTGGAAGGAGGCAGGAAAGACCCACCCAACATTTTAACATAGGAAGGCCCATCTAGTCCAGTATTATTTGCTTTGTTCGTTGAGGGCCCTTAAGGCAACAGCTTGTTGTGGTGTTAATTTAGGGGAGGGGGAGGGGGACCAACCAAGAGGTTAGATATGTAAATAAGAGGAGGGGGAAGGGGAGGCCTTCCAAGTGAAGCTGGTTTTCTCTGCTAGTGTTAAATAAAAGCTGTGAGAGGGGCTACTGGCCCTTCCCTTGGGGCCAGAGACTGGCCTACTTTGTTGTGGCTTGCAAACCTTTTTAGGCCCCTTCCTGCTTGGTTCCATAAACTCAAACTCATCCCAAGTGCACCGTCTAAAAAGCGTTATCCAGAAGAGCATTTTGCACAGCCCACTAACAAAGACAACCACAATAATATTCCAAATAGTAACAATTAATTGCATTTATTCAAAGTCCATTTAAAGCTATTTAGTTTAGTTAACTCAATGAAACGGGTTAACTTGCTTCATACCAGCTTTTCAAGGTCTGAATGTTATTTGCCCCTCCAACACCCCCCTGCTGCCCACTTGTCACTTGGCATCTGCCTAGATAACCCTACCACCACCACCCACTTTGGGAACCACTGATCTAACCTTTTACTTGTATTACTTTAATCAAAAGTTAGATGTGTTGCTATAGATACATACACACATATATGTATACACACACAAACAAAGCTTATAGACTATTAGGCATGAGATACAGGAAGTCCAACCACTATGGCCATTGGTCAGGGATTTGTAGTTGAGTGAGGGCCACAGGCTTTCCCTCCCCCCACCTGCACATTAAATAATCCAAGGCAGGCTCCAGAACACCTCAGATTTTTTTTGTCCCATGTTTGTTTGGCTCTCCTGGGTGCTTAACACTGAATAGGGGCCTGTGCTGAGAGCCACAATCTGATGTAAAGTGTTTGGTGTCTCATATCATCTGTGAGAGCCTAACTTCTTGATGTTTGATTCTACCCCTTAAACTATTGTTTCTAGAATACTGTGGGGTGGGGGGGGGAGAAACATATACATGGGCGTAGCCAGGGGGGCAGAAGGGGGCAGCTGCCTCCCTAGATCAAGTAAAGCAATAGAAATACTTAAATAACTAACTGACCAATCACATTGGTTCTGCCCCCACCCCAACAAAAGTCCTGCCCCCCCCCTAACAAAAATCCTGGCTATGCCCATGGACATATAGTTCTATATGTTTAAGATGCCCAAAGCAAGGCTTTTTGATTCTCACAACATCCCTCTCAGATCAGCATCAAATGCATTTTTTTTTATTGCCGCAGCAGAAATATACTGCCCTGCCCAAGCTCACATTCAAAATTTATAGCTCAGGTGAGATTTGAGGTTAAAATATTTTGGTTGGAGCCCTGTCTTCATTGTCACAGTTCTTTCCACTCATGTTAACGTGATGCTTCTGCACTCCCGTTTTAAAGGTGAATGTACATAGTCAAAAGGTGCAGGTGATGTAAGCCTCTGTCATGATGAATAATACAATAATACACATAGCAGCATGACAAGACACAGCTCGTGCTTCGCTGCATTTTGAGTACTCTTACAATGACCACACTGGTTCCCATGATCACACTGAAATCCCTGTAGTACTGCAAAGCTCCCATTGTGTTGTGTGTGGTGGTATTGTGCACTGCAGCCTTGGACTGTTCCCTGCAGCACTGGCAAATGCAGAGTACTGAAGAATTTCTAATCATATTGCTCATGTCTTTGCAGGGTCTCATCTTCACACTAGTTGTCCACCAGTGCAATGCCTGCAGCTCTTCATAGTCAAATAATGTATTTCATAGTTCTTTTATTCATAGGGAACAACTCCCACAGGGTTGTTGTGAGGACAAACAATATTAACTTTGCACATTAAAGTGAATTATCACCATCACTTAACACAGACATGCACACTCTGATCCAATGCTGTCTGGGCTGCTGGGCTGTCATGGAATGTTCACAAATGGTCTAAGTGCTCAGGGGTAAGATATTAGCAATACAACGTTGGTGAAGAGTGCAGTTTCTGAGAGTGAGGTGAAAGGCTCGTTTTGACTATGAGAAAAAAAGCTTAAGGACCAGGAATATTTTTGCTATTAATAGAAATACAGGAAGAAGGACAGGATGCCTGGAGCAAATCAGAGGCTGACAGGTGCAAGATGAGGGGGAAGAATGGAAAGAGAGAAGTGCTTTGAGGCTGAGAGACTATAAATCAGGAAGGCAAAAGGGAATGCAAAAAACAAAAAAACCAAAAGAGAGAGCGGCGGGACTGAACTTAACAGGTTGATTTGAATGAGAAGACATCTTTTGTGCCACTAATCATATCGTATCACTCACCATTTTATCCCTCTTTTGTTGACTTGGCTTGTAACGCCGCACGTTCTCACGGTATGGACGCCACTTTAGTCCCCGTACATTCCAGGAGTTCCCAAGCTTTGTGTTGCTTGTCAAATGACACGCGCAAAAGTCTGACTCAGTGTCTCTCAGGAAGCGAGTGGAAAATTAAAGGTTTCCTGTCCCGCTGCACGTGAACTGGGGCCCATCATCTCGTGGGCGGGCAGGTGCCTCAGGGGACAAGAAAGGAAGCGGCAGGTGCCTTCTCCAGTTCTCCTACCTAGCGGCAGCTGCTTCGTCTGTAGGGCATGTTGGTTTTTGCCAGGTAGGTGTGAAGGAAGTTTTCTGTTTCTCAGTAATGTGATGGAGTGGTTGACTTGATTAGAAAGAGAACACAAATTCAAATTCCTGCCTAGCTATGAAGTTTTGTAAAGCAGGCCTTGGCTCAGCCGTTATCTCTCACGCTAACCCAATCTCACACGGCTATTGTGACGAGCTTTTTGGGGGAGACACAAGATTGTGATGTGATATGTATGAAGTCTGCATCAGTCAGGGGTCACTACCCTTTTTGGGGTGAAGGGCGCATTTGTAAATTGTAATGACTTGCGGGCAACACACACATATACCACAACCTATTCTCTTGGCTACAGTTTCTTTCACGCCTTATTTTGGAGGAGGGCCCTGTGTGCACATGGCAAGGCCTTTGTGTGTACATGTGGGCCAGTGGGCTCCACGTTGGCAACTCCAAATCAATTTCAGGAAGAACAAGTCCTCCATTGAAAAGTTGATTCAAAGCTTTTTTTTCATCCCTGCAGGGCTGCTGTAGTTGCAATCACTTCATGAAAGGGAAAAATTCAACAGGTGAAGCTTTTATCCCGTCACTTTCTTACCTGGATAAAAAAGCAAGCTGCACCTGATGAAGGTCTGCCTGTCACACAGCAGCTCAGATACAATGTGGTAGTGGTGGGGAACGTGATGACTGTGTGTATCTTTTTTGTAATATACAGTTACTGACTCACACTTGCATGCATGAAAGGGTTGACCTGAGCAAAAATTACCAATGGGTGGGTTTTAGCAGGCTCCCTCCATTCTCTCTCTCTCTGCCATTCCTGGAACAAGCAGCAGCCAAGCAATGGCTCACAGCTGCAAGAAAAAAATGCATGAATGGAGATTGTGTCTGCAGACAGTGTCATTGTGTGGGTGGTTCCCCTGCACAGGGCACCAAGCCGAGGGGAGAAGATCCATCACTGAGAAGATTCATTTGGGGTGTCAAATTTTGGCCTCACTCAGAGTGCCATACTACCAAAGATTACAAAATTTCCACCCCCACCCTGCTGCAAACTGCAGGTTTCTTTTGTAGGAAACCAATTTCTTTCTTTTTAAGTCATTTGGAACATTTTTTTCTTCTTCATTTTACTGCCAACAGATGGAGACTTGTTTGCTGTAACTCGTGAATCTCTGTGAGTAACTTATTTGCAATGCTAAATGCCTGTCATTTATTCTAGCCTAAGTATTTTTGTGGTGGAAAGTTATTTAAAGGTGGACAAGGGCAAATGTAAAATCTAACCAAGTTTTAATGTGCTTCAGGCATTTGCCATTGTACTAACTCTGCTTTGAGAGAGTAAGCACCTCTCTTCCGAACTTCTGCCAACATATGTGTTCATGGTCACAGAGCTTTAATTTCTTTTCAGCCTGTGTGGTTGTGGAGGCTGAATTGTTAAAGCACTAACAAGGGGCAGTAATTCAGTAAAGTGCTAAACTAATCACAGCAGGAAGGTTTGGTCTGGTCTCAGACATAAAAGGCCAAAGAAGTGATGGGAACAGCAGCACTCAGAGATGTGTTAACACAGTGTAGCTGGGCACTTCAATCAGCACCCCCACCCCACCCTGCCTCTCATGCTGTCCCCCACCCGAAACACCCAAGGAACCAGGAAGCGAGCAAATGGGGAGGGAACAGAAGAGGATGATGCAGAAGGGTGGGGTCTTGTTTCCTCCTAACACACTCATGCTAGTTCAAATAATCCTGATTCACATGATGGCATACAATCTCAGAACCAGAACACAG